CCGCGTCCAGTGGCGCCGTTGCCACCAGCGCCACGTCCTACGGCGCCGCTGCCTCCAACACCGCGTCCTACAGTAGTGGCGGGGCCTGCCGGAGCGTGCGAGGCTATTCCCGTAGCTTCATTACTTCCCAACCCTTCAGAGCAGCCGAGTGAAACATATTGGTTAGGTTCCAAGCCACAAGGGCCTCCGGGGTCACTGTACGACTGGACACGGTGCAGTCCCGACTGTCCGGCTGCCACCGCTGCTGCCGAAGAATGGCTAGAGCCTTCATAGTCGGTTGCCAGGAGGGCGTCGCGGCTGCCGCTGCTGCCGCGGCCGCCTCCTGCACTACCGCTACCACTGCCGCCATGTTCGCCACTTCTGTTGCTGGTATCGTGGCGAGCCGCCGCCGCTTGGGCGCGCTTGCTCTCCTGAGCCCATAGTGCCCTACCCTGTATATACGGCAGAGGCGGGGAAGGCGAAACGCAGCAGAAGGGCTTCACAGTGTGGTGGGCAAGCAGCCAGCAACGAGAAGATGATTGAAAAAGTGCTGCCACGTCACCACCAGCATCACAGCTGCCACCCACCGTTGCCAGCACTACCACAAAAACCATTATCAGCACCAACAGGACCGAGTAGCATTACGGCCACATTATTGGGGACGCAGTTGCAATTCTTCGCAGCTGGGGGCCTCATACCTCTGCAGCCATCCCACCTTAGCTATCGCCTGTGCCAGCAGCAGCAGCAGCAGTGCTAGCAGCAGAATGTTTAGCAGCCAAGATGGCAGGGCTACGTTGAGCAGCACACCTGGGGGGTTGAGATTGGGAGATGGGCAGGAAGGTGGTGAGCGTAGGTAAAGCCGGGGAGGGAAAGCGGCGTCGAGGACGGCACCAGGCGTAACACGAAGGAGGGGCAACGTGACAAGGTTTAAAGTCGTGCGCTTTCTCATAATCGCGGTCCTCGTGTCCTCAGGCTTCAGGTTCTTCCCGTTCACTGTTGGACGCTCGAGCGCTCGTCCGTGGCTTGGGTTGTCTTCCCCGGGCTTGGTGGTTTGCCCTGCCCCGCAACCTGCGTACGTCGCCCATGCCTGATGATGTTGCCCCCAATCATCATCCCGTGCTCATCCTATACCATTAAGTGCCCCGAGGCCGCCGACCCGCGCACCTATCCCCACGCCGACTAGCATCATAGGAGTAAGCATTAGCATAAGCGGAAAGTCGATGAGGGGCGCCTCCGGTACGCTGGGATGGGTCCGGGGCAGGTTGCTCACGACCGCTGCCAGTGAGCTGGCGGTGATACAGGCCTGGGACAACGCAGTGCTGGGCTTGAGAGCTGCGGAGTGCAGAGGGTGGCGGCGCAGAGCGGGCAAATGCAGTCGTGTGGCTGCGGGTTCCGATATTGGAACATGATAAGTGGTATCGAGATAATGGCCATGTTGGTGATGGTTGTAATTGATCGCGAGCTTTGAACATCAAAGGCCCCATGGAGTTCGGCGATCGTTAGGAGAACCGTAGAAACAGAGAAAGGTAGAAAGAAGGCGATAGGAATAGGACTGAAGGACAATAAGGTAATGTGGAGCCCCTTCAACCATTGATTCCCATTAATAAGCCTACGGCAAGCACTTTACTCCAGCGAAACAAGATAGGCCAGGATAGGGGAAAGGGAGGGCGGAACTGAAGCTCCTTGCAATGGCGGGCGAAGAGGCTAAGCGCGGGATTTATGCTAAAGCAAGCGGCTGCCTTAGATCCATTGCAGAAGCTTGAACTGGTGTTTGTTGCTGCTGGCAATGACAGAATTAGTGAAAGCGATGCAGGCAACCAAGTGGCAGCCGCCGGCGTTGCGGAATAAAACGGACCGCGCCTAAAAACATTTTCTCCACCACAACAGCACCTTATGTTGTTTCTCCTTTTTGTTAAAAATATTCTGGACGTCGGCTTTTGACGTCTAAGCGACGATCGAAGAAATGTGGGAAGGTTAATACAGAATGCCTGGTGCAGCGACGACATGCTCAAAAGCATTCTTACCAAAGCCGACTAGTACATTAAATAATGGAATGTAAATCGCGCCTCCTCCGACGCCCGCAGCTGTAGCCAGCGCTCCAATCTGAAGTGGAGGAATGCATTCTTCGGGTATAGCTCATCTCAAGCAAGCCCAGAGCATACCATGCAACTTACAAGCAGAGCGACAGCAAGCCCCAAGAGACTGTGCACATCGGCCCGGAAAGCCGACTCGGCGTCTAGAGGAGCCATTTTACAGCTGGAAGGAAGGATTTACATAGCCTATCTTACGAAATTCATCATTGATAAGGACGCTTATGTTGCGAGGAATGTTAGGATGGAGCAAAAGGACATTGTCGTGCCAACCGCCTTCAGTTTTCACGGGGTCTGTCCCGTTTCATGCAGGTCGGCACCCATGGCACGAGCAGGTAAATGATCAAGGACAGATAATGTCCACAATTATTAGACCTGGATGACGAACACCGCTGACATCTATCTGTTAGGTGTTCTCAGTGTTTGCCGGAGATAATGCCAGCGGCGAAGAGGGACGAGGCTGACTATGCAGCTTGTGCCACACGCTGATTATCTTGTACTGGAACATTTTCACAACAAAATTAATTTTACCTTACGTTTTCTCCGATAACGCGTACAGACGCACGGCTTTACAAATGAGGCTGACTTTGGTCGACGCCGGAGAACATACAGCAGAGCATCTCATTTTCCTTTTATTGATTATGAAATCGTACTAAAATTGCGCTGTGATCTTCTGGGATGTGCATTACACATTTAGACGGATAAGCTGCATCCTGTCGCCACGTGGTTCTTACCTTTCCATGCACTTCAAGTTCGATTAGTACAAAAACATTTATAGTGTTTGGTTTTTCAGCTGAGAACATATAGAGATTTCCAAGTAGTGCAGCCTTTGCTCGACCGGGTCGCTGCGGGGCGGCAGGACAGTTCTGACCAGAGGAACGGCCGCCTGGCGCGCGTCTGCCGTGAACGCGGGAGTTGATACAAGGGAATTATTTCTGGCTTAGAAACGGACGCGGAACGCAACTCAGCTGACCGCTTATGTACACAAAATTGCATACTCGTTAATCTGGACAAAGACTAATGGGCATTAGTTGAATATTATTGTCGCAAGATGGAGACGTTAGGAACAAGATCATCCAGGTGGAGCAGAAAGCCTGAACGAAAGTCCGCAACAACAAAAGTGCTCCGACGAACCTCCTAATCAAGTGGCACCGCAATAATTAACAGATGGAAACCTAAGCCTCCGAACCTGGTTTCATTCGTTAGTTTCGTAGCCATATTTCCTAACGTCCTAAGTTGGTTTCGGTTACAGATCCTAAGTTGGTTTTGTTTGTTTCATAACCCCAAAAGACTTCAGGTTTGTTTTTCTACTTCTTGATGCAGGTAATATTAATCCCGATAATCTTGTTTTCTTCAGGCTCAGGCTCGACCGTACCTGACATCGTACGTGCGCGGAGTGCGAACCTGCGAAGTTGTGCGTTTGCACAAGATGAGAGATCAGAAGGAAATTACACGGTTTGGTGCGAAATGTAATTAGACAAAGCATTCATTCCTTAAACTTTCTTTTTCTAGTGGTATTCCGGACGTCTTACAAATGCTTGGTAAAGCTGGAGCTTGGATATTTCAAGCTCTGAAAGCTGCAACCCATATTTAAAGTCTGCCAAACATTGGGTGGGCGCGATCCTTTTATGCAAATCTATGTGCAAAACGAATATTCGCTCTGGCAAGTTAGGCTTCCCACTTTACTGACGTACTTTGGACGACATGATGCCATCTTACATTCATATCGTTAACCAGCATTCTTGTCCTCTGAGGTTTGAAAAACGCATATACTCCTTCAAGAAGCGTCTTTTTTCCTCCACGCTTGCCGCTAAAGGCAATGGTGGAAAGCTATTCGTTCTTGTGCCAAGTGTGCAGAAATAAGCGATGTACTAGTATCGAAACGATGCGAGATATGATATGATATGATTCCTGCGACTTGCATATAGAAAACAGCCCGCACCGCTCTGCAAGCAAACAGTCGAGGCAGGGTTGGGTTGCTGGCAAACACGCAAACGCTTAAATCAAGAACTCTCCCATCTTCAATAAATCCTCCATGGGGCGATAAATTATGTGTCCGTCCCTCTGGAATGGCCGCCGGTTGGTCAAAGGTGATACACATATGCATCCAAATCAATCCAAACTATATACTTACTTGCAAATGATATTACATCCCTAAATTACATACGCCGGATACCGTGTCGCAAGCCAACCATTGTTAACCCAGGTCGCGGTGGTACGGCTGCCACCAACTACTTAACAGAGAACTACTACAATTACTGAACAGGGTATCGCGGTAGAACGCCATCTAATACCATCTTGCAAAAGTCGCGATTGCCGGGGATTCTCGTGCTAACGAGCCAGGCTCCACCCTGCGCTTTCAACCACTGCCATCTGCAGGCGCCTCCCAAGCAGCTAAAAAACTGAGCCTTCATCGGGTAATTAAATACACTATTCTTTCACAAAGCGATTATAGTTTTGTGTCACAGCATTTCTTTCGCATTCTGTATGCCGGCAACATTAAAATCGGCTCAGGGCGCTTTTTTCTTTTCCAGAGAATGAGAAGATTTGTCTTTCCTCTGCTCAAGTACATTACCTAGTCCTACCCCACATGAGCGCAGACCGTATGACCCAAGGACTTCACGGCCGCCATCTCTGCAGTGAAGTAGCACGCGACCGAGGTTAACTGCACCGCACTGTATACGCTCAATAATAAGACGTCAACATACGACCGGATGTGCTCCATTGGGTTCCGATTGTCCCAAGCAAGGATAACAATAACATGAAATGTATGCGAGAGGAGGAACTCCTGGAGCAGTCGCCATCGTTGCCGCAACGTTGTACACCTGCTTCCTGGACACGCTGATGAACCACCTTACCAACCGTTAACGAACCCTACCAAAATGTGATAAACCCAAAGGACGCCCTCAGCAAAACCTTTTCGGATTCCTATCACAGAACGAAAGGCACAAGCGCCCTCCTTCCAGCGGGGTAGTCACTCCCAAAGTGCTCCTTGTACCACCTGCACACATAACGTCCAAACAGATAACGGTCAGGTACTGCGCGGACTCTCTTGCTGGCCTGCAGGAAGCAGAAAGATACCTTCAAACATAAAATGTACCACTAAGAAGGCGCCCACAGAAATATGCAATCTTGTCTGGGGTATCATATGACGATATACACGAAGGCAGGCAGAGTCGCAGGCAGAGTCACAGATCGACCTCCAAAGACGAAATAGGGCGAGGTGGGAAGAGGCGAGATGCAATGGGTTTCGGAGCGAGGCCAGATGAGGCCTCCGTCACACCACGCCTCGCAACGCCGACTTAAAAGTGGCCGCCTTAATGCACCTGTGCTAAACTTGCCTCCCACCCTCCCTCTCATCCCCTGCAGGAAAGGCCCCCCCCTCCAGCAGTCCGCTACCTCACCTATGGTTGGTTAGCGACCGCGGTATGAAAGTAGACGCCCCGAATAGGGCCCACGCCAGGGCGGGCCAGCTCCACACCGCCAGAGCGTAGCCGGTCCATTCTAGGAGCTCCCCTGGAGCGGTGGGAGGTGTGGGGTTGGGGAGGAGGGTGGAACCAGTGTTGGAATCGTGTCGTCGTGATGTTGGAGGGGATGTGGGAGAGCTTTCAGGAGAGGCAGTACTAGTTGGAGGTTGAGAAGGAAGACGTTTTGGGGGAATGTGGTTTGAACATTATTGCGTTACTAAAGGTCGCTGCTGCTCGGAACCTCTGGCGGCTGTAAAACGTGTACTAAAAATAAACATGTATCGGAATCTGTACAGGAAGATAAACATGCGCACGACGAAATAAATGCACACCCACATACACATGCAGTTACACTGGCACACGGTTGATTCAACGCACATACATCCTAGCTGGCATGAGTGTGCGTGCCCACACACGGGCACACGCACGCACACTCGCGCAAGGCCGCCCCATCCCCCAAACCCAACGCATTTCTCATTCACAGCTCGCATGATGCGCTCTGTCGCACTCCCGAAAAAAAAACACAACACACAGGTGGAGCCGCCAGGCCGGCCCAGTCAACCAGGCAAGAGTTCGTACGGACAGTCCCGGCCTCCTTTCCCTCAACTTACCTAGGTAGTTGGGGCAGCTGACAAGCTCGTACAGTCCACCACGGGGTATGAAATAGTGCTGCCTGATACTCGAAGAAGCTGGGGGCCCTCCCGGCGTGCTGGGGGCGCCGCTTCTGCCAGCCCCCGAGGCCTCCTGCTCCTGCTGCTGCTGCTGCTGTGGTCCTCCCCGCCCATTCTTGCAGAGGCCGCCCGCGCTACCATCTCCCCACATTCGGCCCTCGCTTTCGCGCTGCTGGTCGCCCAGGAGGCTCTCCCGAACAGCTCCAACACCACCGCTAGCGGCACCGGTGGTGCCGCCATTGCTGCCTCCGCCGCTCGCCTCCCCCACCCTGTGTTTCCCCATGGCCAGCCGGCCAGCACGCAGCTTCAGATCTGCCCAGCGGTTAATTACCGTACCTATGCCGTACAGTACGGCGCCGATCACAAAGCGCGGCTGGGATGCCCAGTCAGAGGGGTAGTTCGTACATGCTAGCTGCGCCGCAATCAGGTAGCTGAAGAGCAGGTTGGGGAAGATGCCCGCGAGGGTGATGCCCACGGCCACGGTTTTGGAGCTGTACGGCATTATAAGGGGGTGTACGATACCACGGTACAGGTAGTGCAGCAACCAGCCGGCCAGGAGTACGACGTTCATAGGACGAACCTGCTATGACGGCCGGACGTGCGGGCGGATAGGGCAAGAGACAAAAAGGCTCGTACATGGATTTGTTCTTGAAGCGAAGAGGCGTGTAGACGCTTCCAACTTGTGGTTTCGGAGCAGGGGCTGGCGGAACTGGGGTCTTCCTTAGGCTAGGCCTTAAGATGAGGCCGTACGTATTCGGCTGGCCTAGGCACTCTAGTAGTTGTAACCGGACGGCCAAAGCGCGAAGTTTCTTGGGCTATGTGGGCGAGCACGTGCCCGAGCGGAGCAGTCGCGGCTTTGCAGCGAAGGCGGCGGCCTCGAGAAAGGCTCCACCCACATACCATAGAGCTGCGTGCGGGCATCTGCGCGCTGCTTGTGGCCTTGCTTACAGCTCTGGCCCAACGAAGTCCCCAGTCGCTTGTCCGTTTACCTGGCTTGATCTTAACTGGGCTTGAAACCGCACTACACCCCCCCCGCAAAACCCTCCCCGTCCGCGCACACCTCGCTAAACATCCCCCCCTGTGGGAGCAGCCCCGCATACAGCAGGTATACTGCCAGGAGGAAGGGAATGCCGGGGATCGCATCGCTAACCTGGGGGGAAAGGGAATATGGATGGGGCATGAGGGACACCTGTGGATAGTTGCGTGTAAGGAATGCATGCGCGCTGCGAGTATTAGAAACTTTAATGCTATGCTGTGAACAGGGCGCGCGCGTCCGAGTTAACCGCGGCTACAGCGGCAGTGGCATTGAAATCTCATGCGCGGAGCGGCACGACATTTGATATATCAGAAGTTACCGAAGATAATATCTTACGATGTGCGCCACACGCTGAGGTATGGGAAAGCCCCAGGACTTGGCCTTCGCTGGGTCCGCATGCCGACCGTATGGCGCAGCATCTTTGAGTTGTGAGCTGAAAGAAGCGACGATGAGGATGACACAGAAGCTCAAGAGGATTACATGCGTCCATAGCAAGCCTTCTAGGTCACGCACGTCACAGTGGGGAAATGCCATTTCCGCAGCTTCAACCACAATTCCTCAGACGGAGCGATACAAAGTTTGGCATTAAGTCGATAATTTACGTATTATGACGCATCTTCCTGATGAAGGCAGGATTTCGTGAACGCTGCGTCCATCGGCTCATGCTGTCGTACGACGTAACATGCCCGGCCGAGCACTCACAGCGAGGGATCAGGGAAATCACAAAGCCCAAACGCAGGATAAATCTGTTGATCACCTAACGTGTGGGTGACACAAATTTTCACAGCTTCAGTGCTTGTAATCTGATTTCGGTTCCCGTCCTCACTCGGCAAAATGTCAGCCCAAACTCAATGGCTTTGCGAAATGCTCATCCGATTGGCATAATATACCCAAGCCCGCCATGTGACGCTGGCTGTGGCCGCCTCCACGGCGCGCAACACCTGAGCGTATCAGAGCGCCAAAAAGCCAAACGCTAGCTAGGCACCATTAGCAAAGGACCCCTGCCCCTACCCCTGCCATCGCTCATCCCTTGAGCTACCATCCTAGCACTCACAACCCTCACGTTCTTCCCACCTGTATGTATGTACGCATCAGGACACCACTCCTCGCCCACCCACACTCCAGCTCTCCAGCTCTCCGTTCCATATCAGCCTACAAATGACCCGAATGAGTTGCTTGAATACAGCTCCCTATCACATCCCAAGCGCGCCCGTGCCCAGCCTCACGCAAGTGCCTACGCAAGCTCCTCCGGCCCGGCCCCCGGACTATGTCTATATCGGCTGCACCTCCGCTCTCCTTTCAGGCCCCACCCCGTCAACCGGACACACCAGTCCACGTTGTTGCGATGCACCAGCCTCAAGCTTTGCTACTAACCGCCGCCGGCGCTCCTGTTTTCTCTCTGCGCCCCGCCCCCCCCACATCCACCGTCTCCTGAATGACCGCACAGCCCAGACACCGACCATCCTGGTAGAACACCGCGTACTGGCCCGCAGCCAGGCCCTGGTCATTTTGCGCCAGAACCACAGTGCCGTACGAGTCATTGCCGTACGAGCCATCACCACGGGCGTCGTGCAGACGCAGCTCGCAGCAGTACATGCTGGGCCCGTGTCGAACCTTGACAAACAACGGACCGGCCCGTGGGTCAGGATCAGGTCGCGTGGCGGCGTCCAGCCAGTTGAACGGTCCACACGTGAAGGTGTTGCGCTGCTTGTCTGCGTCGTAGTACTGCCGTGACACCAGTACGGCATTGCGCAGCGTGTCCTTGGCCACTACGTACCTGCATCATGCACGGTATGACCGGTTATTGCGTTCCGTCAAGGTGGTGGACTTGATGCCCCAGGACCAGGACCACGTGTAAGCGGCTTCATCACCCACTTCGTCACCGTCACCGTCGTCTCCATTTCATCCACGAAGCGGCAGCAGCAGCGGCAACTTGCCGCAATCCTAGCCCCTACGGTTATTGCGTGAGGAGGTGCAGGTCCAAGAAGCTTCTTGGGACTCGGGCGCAGTGAGGCTGATGACCCCACATTGGTGCGGACCTCACACCACCACCTTCCATTCCTACCATTCACCGCCCTCCATGCCCCCTCCTCACCAGCGCCAACACCATCACCACCACCATCACCACCACCACCATCACCACCACCACCACCACCATCACCACCACCATCACCACCACCACCACCACCACCATCACCACCACCATCACCACCACCATCACCATCACCATCACCATCACAGGACTTACCAGGGGCCCCCCGGCAGCTTAATGCCTCCCCGCTGCCCCACCGTGTAGAACCAGTAACCCTGGTGCAACCCGAGCGGCTGCCCCGTCTCAGCCTCCAGAATGGGCCCCGGCCACTCGCCCAGATGCTCGCGAACAAACTCGTGGAATTTAACCTGGGGAGCACGCCGCATCGGTGAATGGAAAAAATGCAGTACGGTATCGTTAAGAGTTGGTGTGTTCAGTCGCCCGAGTGCGAGTGCGGAAATCAATCCGGGCCATGTGTTCCCCCGGGCTGTGGGTGTGGATGTAAGGAAATGGGCAAGGATATGGGTACATGTGGGGGAGAGGGAGAAGGCTGTGCAGAGGAGGTGCGCGGCTGACGTTTGGCGTTTCTCTGTCTGTTTGTCGTCCCCTGCTTGGCCAAGACCAAACCGAGCCGCATGCCGCTGCTGTCGCCTTTTCGCACCGTCTCCTCGGCCGGTTCCCGCCCGGTGCTTTCCTCAACCGCATTCCTTCCCACCCCTTCGACGCATCACGTTGCTGCCGACGGCTCCAGACCACCGGCCACCCACCCACCTAGCCACTGACCCCTACCTTGCCCAGGAAGCATATGCCCTGACTGTCTTTGCGGTTCTTGTTGGCCAGGTCCGCAGCTGCCGCTAGCTTCCGGACCTGTGGAGAGCGGGCGGGCGGGCGGGCGGGCGGGCGGGCTGGTGGTAGAAGGAGTGGGAATGATATATGATATGCAGCACAGCCAAAAAGGTAAAACAACTGCCGACGTCATTGAAATTTCTAACTCCGTGCTGGAGGGGGGCAGCAAGAGGTGCAGACCGGGGCGTGTGTGTGTGTATATATGTGTGTGTATGTGTGTGTGCTCGGGGGTAGCGAGAGGGGCGATTTCGGATGGCCAGCCGTTGGCAGACACACGCGCGTGGTGCTCCTGACTGCCGCGGCGGGGGAAAGCGCCTCTACAAATGAAATCAGCATCGCGGATAGCGTACGGCGAAAACCACTGTGGGAAACATTGGAAACCAAAAGCGGGAAGCAGGAATGCGCGGTGGTCAACAGAATCGCAAGAGCGCCGTGTGAGCGCCATATAACGGTCACATACCGGCAGCAGCCATGGCATCGTGAGGTAAGGCGGGCCCCCGCCCCCACGGCCCCCGGTCCCACATCGTGTCATCCTTCACCCATCGTCACCCTTCTGCTATTTCGCACCCGCGACACCTGCTCCCACTCAGTCACCCACTCAGTCACCCACTCAGTCACCCACTCAGTCACCCACTCAGTCACCCACTCAGTCACCCACTCAGTCACCCACTCAGTCACCCACTCACTCACTCACCCACTCACTCACCCACTCACTCACCCACTCACTCACCCACTCACTCACCCACTCACTCACCCACTCACTCACTCACCCACTCACCCACTCACTCACCCACTCACTCACCCACTCCTCCCACCCACCTGTGACTTGGTCAAGCAGCCCAGGGGAAACATAACACGCGACAGCTGCCGCGGACTGAGGTTGGCCAGGAAGTAGGTCTGGTCTTTGACCGCGTCCGGAGTGAGCAACAGCCGCACCTCCTCCCCTTCCCCCTCACCACAACCACCACCACCACCACCACCGGCAGCACCAGCAGCGCCAGCGCCATCACTGCCACCACCTCTATCCAAGCCCGCGCAGGTGTTTGCGGCGCCGCACAGACCGGCGGAAAGCTGCTGCGGCTGCCGGCTGGGCAGTAGGCCGCTGGAGGAGGCGCCGCTGTGGCTGCTCCGCCGCCGCCGCGCCGCCTCTGCAACCTCCTCCTCCTCCTCATCATCGTTGCATTCGATCACAGAGGAGGAGGCCGCCGCTGAAGCTGCTGCTGCCGACAGCTTCACCTGATCAGGATGATTTTTACCATGGCCCTCACGGTCTTGGCAGTGGTTGTGGTTGTGGTGGTGATGGTGGTGTACTTGCCGCTCTTGTTGCCGTTTTTCTAGCTCCGGCAAGCTGCCGCTGCCGCCACTGCTGTTCACCACTGCAGGAGAGGAACGCCGCGGCACGCGCTCGACGCGCGCATAGTGGCCTGATGCGACGCGGTCAAATGCGGCGCCGTATGTGCGGTCGAGGTAGTCGTAGAAGGCGCCGAACTTGACGCGGCTATTGCACCACATGTCGGGGTTGGGTGTGCGGCCGGCGCGGATCTCCTCCACGCTGCCAGACACGACCCGGTCCCAGTACTCGGTGGTGAGGGGCACCACCTCCAGAGGCACCCCCAGGGACTCGCACACCTGGGGTTATCACAACACCAGGTCATCAGGTCGTAATATACGTAAAAGATATTTGGAGGAGGGGAGTAAAATAAGGACGTAAGAGTCGGTGCATGCAGCATTACTGAGACATCATCGTGTAGGGCGTAGGGGGGGTTGGGAAGCACTCCTGGTGACGTCTGGGAAGGAAGGATGAAGGAAACGTGATAGGGTAGAGGGTGAGCTGAAGAGGACTTCAGAAAGCGAGGGTGACATGCGTGGTGGTTGGTTTCGGGGCTGCTAAAGCAGGGGGGACGTTGGGGCGAGGGACATGAAAGTGGCCGGGTGGCGGGCGGGCACCGGTTGTGGGACAGCTACAAGCGAGAACTGGGAGCTGACTGGATATGTAAACTTGGGGGAGTTAACACGCGTGCGCGCGAGTCCCTGCGCGTACCTGGCGCGCGTATTGCAGGTCCTCCTCCCAGGGGCAGGCGCCCCAGAAGTTCCTGATGGCAAACGGACACAGGCGGCCGGACTGGTTGGCAGGGTTTCGGAGCGGGGACGCAGTGCAGCGGGGAAAGCGGGGTTCTCACCCACACGCACGGGATGCATCCCCACAGGAGAAGGTCTTTCCCGAGCTGTACCCGTCACTAATGTTCACTATTTTCATCTTCGGGCCCGTCACGTAATGCCTTTGGCAAGCAATTGGTGGGAACTTGGATGCGCCTGACACCTCGACCTGTGTAGCGGGCAGTTTCCATGAAGCGGGGTCTGGTATCTACCCTAAAGATGCAACACCCACACACAACCCTATATATGTGTATATATATCATCCTTCCAAACATATAAGTCTACACACACAAGCACACAGGCTCCCTCTCCCTCTCCCACTTCATGCCCCACCCTACCGGAAGTCCTCCTGAAACCAGATCTGCAGGTAGAAGGCGTGGCAGGTGTGGCCGGCGGCCCGCAGCAACCTCAGCGCCAGGCTGCTATCCACTCCGCCGCTCAGCAGCACCGCCACGTTGAGCCGACTGCCGGGCTCGCATCTGGGCGCCCCTCGGGGGAACAGCGGTTGCGAACGGGCACGTGGCCGTTGGAAAATGGTGGTTGGGAAGGTAACATAGACAGGTGTTAAGAGTCAAGGAAGGACGCGATCCAAACGAGGTCGGAGGGAAGGCTAGAGTTTAGCACATGAGGAGATGTAGCTGCGGGTTTTCTAGGTATGAGTGGCACGTATGAGGGCAAGCGTACTGGGTGTGTGCGTGGGGGAGAGGGGTGCGACAGGAAGGCACACCGCTAGCTTTCCTGTTTCCTGTGATGGCTGGTCTGCAGGTGGCCAAGGGATCTGGTCATATGAGCGTTTACTGAGGTTGGTGCGGCTGAAGGGGGGCTGTGGAATCGGCCCGACGCACCCTGCCATGAGGACGTCGTGATTGGCCCAGTTTTCGGGAAGCGGAGCCACGAATTCGTCATCCAGCTGGCCTGTTGACGAGCCGGGACTTTCAGGTGGCAAAGATGTGCTGTTGATTGGTATATCCTGGATTCCTGTGACACGTGTGCTGCATCGGAATCGACGCCCCGCCGCGGCGCCGTCAATAACCCGACGGGGACATACTTGCCTAACTATCGGCAGGAGAGCTGTACCTCCTAGGCGTATGACTTGCGATTGCAACGCAGCTTTACATGTTCGAAAGAGAAAAGGTGTGCGCATGGCAAAGGTAAGCTGGGTAGTTCCAGGTAGTTCAGGTCCCGTCCTGTAAGAAAGAAGCACATTCCCAAGCAAAAATATGGTAAAGGGTCCTTAAGGAGGAACATTATGAAATTGTAACAATACGACAAACGGCCAACTGTCACACCCGAACAAGCTGCTGCCTATCTTGCGCTGAGCGCAGGCAGAGACAGTGCTGGACACTTGCCAATATTCCCTCGCGCGGATGAAATGTTCCAGGCATTGGTGGCGTTCACAACGCGAGCGTCCGTTTTAACGCAACATGTTCGCAGCATTACACCCTCCTTTTGAGTAGGCTAGATAAAAATGATGCAGCCCAGTTTGAGCTCTGGGCAGCAGATTCCTGCCTCGGGGCAGCTGAAGCAACCTGTCCTGACCGACGCACAGCGTGGCGCAGAAGCGCTGTTTACTACGAAAACTATCTCTGAGATCCGCGAGGTGCGCAGATGCTGCCACAAGAGGCGGCAGTTTCGAGTATGGGCTCCGATCAGTTTATGGGAAGTCCGTTCTTTTGCGCTTCGCGGGAGTTGCTATGTATGCTGGATCATGAAGAGAAGCCGATCTTCGGCTACAAGGCTTAAATAATTGTTGTACCGGAATTTTTGTGCATGAGCAGATTGAAGTCCGAACCAGGAAGGACATTGAGCAGAAGAAGCTGCAACTGAGGAATCTTGTTGGAGACTCGTACAGGTCCGTGGGGGCCACGGGTTTTTGCCATTTTTGTCCATACAAGTTCGCTTTTGAAGGACGATGGGTGTGACCTACCTCCCCGTCCCCGGGACCTCGCGGCGCAGGGACTTGATCGACAGCGCGGACAAAATCCTTGCTATCGCCAACAATACCACAACCATCCTCAACAATGTCCGCAGCATCCAGGTGCGCCTGTCTGCGATATGTGCGGCCGGCAACCCGACCCGTCCTGTCCGGACCGCCACCGCCACATTAAGACCCCACTACACCCTACAATCTAAAGCATCCCCCATTTACCCTCATTACACCCGCTGGCAGCTTTCGGCCGGGCTCTCTTCCCAATGCCCAGCTCCCGTCCTTTTCGTGTACTCACTCCTGCATGCTGTCCGCAGGAATCATTTACCAGCCTGGCCCACAACTTCACCTCATCGGATGCGCTGCTCAATGAAAAGCGTGACTCGCTCACCAAGCATGAGGAATTATACGGTAGGGAAATAGAAACAGCCGTCATCAGCCCACCACCTTCCTATCCCCCAATCGGGATGTCGGCGGTTACGAGGTTGAGCTCTACTCTTATTGGCCTCCATGTTTAACCCTATTATCTCCCTAAATTCCCAAAACCAGACCGATGCCGCATATTGCCAAGATTGCGGAGAATAGCTGCTCAGCTTGCAAGAAAGCTCAGATGTGTTGCCTGCGTTCGTTTATTAGTCTGCCTTCCAGCTTTATAGTCCCCTTTCATCCGTCACCCACTGTTGCCCGGCAGCCGTGGGCTCCCGCGTCAAGTATCTGGTGGACACGCCCGAGCTGATCTGGGGCTGCCTGGATGCCCGCCGCTACTTGGACGCCTCTCGTCGCTTCCTGCGGGCCCAGCACGTGCACGACCTGCTGGCCTCCAATTTCTCCCCCGCCGCGCTGGCCAAGTTTCCCCTGCTGCGGCACCACTGGCCCACCGTCACAAAATTCAAGTGAGGCCTGGATGAAGAGAGTGGGGTGCGCTCCGGCCATTGGGGCGCTGATGGGCCTTTGGGGGCCTGGCGGAATGGGGGAAAGACCCGTGAAAAACCGTCTGTCTGTCTGTCTGTGCAGGAAGCAGGTGGTGGATGCGGTGCAGTCGGTAATGGTGGGGGAGCGGCAGGTGTCCACAGACATGGCGGCGGACCTTCTGACGTCGCTAGCCTCTCTGCAAGGCATGGACTCAGCGGCACTGCTGCAGGTGGGCGCGGGGAGTGGGAGAATAGGGCTAGTGGGGCCGAGGCGCCACCCTGTTCGACCTCCGTGCTTCATACCCACATCTACCAACTGCTCTTCCCGCCTGGATCCTCGCATCTCGAATCTTGAAAATACGGCTGGCTATGCCTGATTGGTCTGAAAATCCTGTTATTACCGAAAGCAGTGCTGGGAGCTCCTCTGTTCCTCCGGACCATCACGGTTTTCCTTTCGTTTCTTCGCTATGGATAACTCTTATCTTTGGGTCCCTGTCTGTAGGCGTTTCTCGCATCTCGTCGCGCGATGGTGGGCCAGCTGGTAGCCAGCGCAACGGCGGCCTCGGGCGACGCTGCCCCGGCAGCCGCCGCTGAGGTCCTCTCGGCCCTGGCACAGGCAGCCCAACTCACCATTGCGCAGGTCGGCGAGCTCTTCCTCCCTGCCGTCAGCCCCGCCGGCGGCCGCGGCGCCGTTGCCGCAGGCCCCGACGCGACCTGCCTGCTGCAACAGCGCTGCCGGGAGGATGAGGCCGATTACTCCGAGCTGCTCTTCGGGGGCCGTACCAACTCTAATGCCGCCGCTGCCGCAGCAGCAACGGCGCCGGCGGCACCGGAGGCAGACGCCTGGCGGCGCACAAATCGTTCTGTGGTGGAGAACCTGGCAGCGCTGTCGTCTGGGCAAGTGGAGCACGCTTGTGTGAACTGGCTGCGTGCGGTAGCGGAGGACTTCAGCTCTCAAAGCTCACGGCTGCTGGCTGGGCTCACCACGGCGGCGGCGCTGGTGGAGGTGGAGGCTCAGGTCCGCGGCGCCATCGCGTCGTGGCAGCACCCGGGCTTTGCCGCCGCCGCCGCGGGGGGCCCGGGAGCGGCACGCGGCGCCGGCCACGGCGCGGCCAAGCGCGCCCGCATGCTGCACCACCACTCCGGCTTGTTGCTGTCGCCGACGGCGGCCTCAGCGGGCACTGACGCTACCACCGCTACCGCTCCCGGTGCCCTCTCCAGTGATGCCGATGCGCCGCACCTGGGCAGCTGGGAGGCGGTTGCGGAGTGGGTGGTGGGCCGGCAGCTTAATGTCTGGCAGGAGGTCTTCCACCAGCCTTTTGTTGTACGCTCCAAGGAGCTGATCGAGGAGGGCTTTGCGGCGGTGGGTCGCGCTCTCGACGGTCCGCTGGACCAGTGCCTGCGTGCCGCCGCAGAGGCGGAGCCGGAGCCAGCGGGATGCATCATCACACGCTCCTGGCCACTGGACGGCTGCGACAGCACCTCGGCGGCAGTGGCGGATGACCCACATGGTGTCGGCCGCGCTAGGTCGAGCTCGATAGGCCGCAGTGCTGAGTTGTGGGTTGGCGGGGGCGAGGCTGCTGGTACGGTGGCGACTGGCAGCGCCATTGGCGATAGTTGCGGCAGCGGCGCTGGAACAGCAGCAAGCAGCAGGGCATACCGGCAGCAGATGTCGGTCATCCAAAGGAAGTTTGATGAGGACCTGCGCTCGATCCTGCAGGTGGGTACGTAGTGGTTGTACCGGTATGCCCGGCGGCGCACATGGATGAATGGTTCGCGGAGAGTGGCTAGTGGTAGATGGAGCGGTGAAGAAGGCCCTTTCCCTCCCTCTCCCGCTTTCTCTACCTCGGCTCATAATTGCCATGTAGGGTGACGCAGGAGATAGGATACAGGCTTGCCAGAAGCGCCTGCGCCCATTGGCAAGCCCCGGACTCACCTGCTCCTACCTACTTCATCTCCCTGCCCAAACGGCCTTCCGACAGACAGACTGCCACATTACAAATATGCTTACAATATGGATTTAGGTCCTGCAATCTCAAAAGTACCCTTGGCCCCGCGCCTCCCTTGGCTGATGTTTTGCTCTTTCTCGGCCATCCCGCTCCGCGCTTCCCGTGCAGGCTGCCCTGCTGCTTGTGGGCACTGCTGATGCAGCCGTGTGGCCGCCCGGTATACACTCCACACCTGTCTCCGCGTCGCCCTCGTCGGCATCGCTACCCCGAGTCGCCTCGGATGCAGTCACGGTTAGCGGTGGCAATGGCGGCGGCAACACCCTCCAGGCCGTGGCGCACTCACACCACCACCATCACCACCATCGTTCCTCGTTGCATGCACTGGCGGCAATGAAACGTGATATGCAGGTGTGTGCGTCCGTGCCTGTCAGAGCTGGGACCTTGGGGTTCAGGGAGGTCGCCGCCTACCGGCCTGTATCCTTGCCTGTCTGTCTCTCTGTCTGTTGAGCTGCACTCAGCTGTTGGACGGCCGCCATGAGGTACTCGGAGCGGCTACGCCGCTCAGAGCGGCGGTGGCGAGCAAGTCCTGGCCCAGGGTGGCCAGTACGTTGCCTTGGCTGGCAGCAGCTGCTTAAGTTGGTGAGGATTATGGGAGCACTGACCTGCTCGCAAAGAAAACTCGCGGCCAGCAGCTGCGTAATTTGACTCTTGAGGGTTGAGGAACATTTATGCCGGCGCACCTCGGCCCTACACGCTCCCCTTTTGTGCGCCCTCGCAGGGTAGCAGGGCGGCCGAGCTGGAGCCGTTTGTGCAGTCCAAATGCATAGAGCTGGTCACCGCCATCGCAGCCAGGTCGGTTGCTATAAGTAGTGAGGGCAAGTGGAAGGGGAGAGGAAGGCATGTATTATTGTAGAGTCCACACGAGAAGTCATATATCACCATTTAACATGTGGTGAGGGAATATATGGTACTGAGGTTGGCATTCGCTGTCGGCCTAAACTGTGCGGAAGGAGGTTAAGATGCTGCTGGACCTATTAGTTGACCAATGGGAAGGTTTCAGTGGCAAGGGTTGGAACTGGGCGGAGCATCAGCGGCTCCATACCAGCACAAAGGATGACTGCTGGCGACGACTACGGGGGCCTCGCACGCGTGCGTCATCGGGCTCCGCTACACGTCCATTTAAATAAGACCCCTGTACGAACGCTTCCTATCCTCCATCTTTAAGAAGCATGAGGACAGAGACCCAAGAAATTGTGGGTTTTGGATGCGATAGGGAGTTGCACCCTTCCTGCCTATCTACGTGCTACCCTGTGCCGCCGCTTTGCGTTGCGCCATACCTTACACCGTCGTCGTCGCTCCGTGCATCGCAGGCTGCAAGCCCGTTTGGACCAGCTAGGGCAGCCACGGGAGGGCCCCGCGGGGGCCGCCACCGCCGAGCTGGTCGTGCTGCTGGGCCGGCTGGCGTCGGCGCTGGCTGCGGACTCGCGTTACCTGCCGGTCGTGCTAGGCCCGCCGGAGGCCTGGAAGGTATGGCTGCAGCAGGGTGGGAGGGTAAGGAAAGGAAGCACAGACCCATACGTGACTCAAACGCCTACTTCGTAGGACGTGATTGCAGCAAACGCAAATCGGGCAGGGCGCGGGAGGGTGGCACGGCACTTGTCTGCATTGTTGATGATGTTTGCCTGCTGAGGGAGGGGGGTGAACGTCAAGCCTTAAGTTTACGACTATAACTTCCAGCCTTCCCATACAGCGCCCGTGCCCACGCTTGTCCTCCGTGCCCACGCTTGTCCTCCGTGCCCACGCTTGTCCTGCGTACCCTGCGTACTCTCGCCTCCCTGAATTCGCCGCTCTCCTCGACTTTCCGTTCCTATCAGGCCGCCGCCTGCGCCGGAGCCGGCACTGGGGGCACCGCTGCAACGGTCGTCGGCCGCATAGCGGCAGGCCGCATGGGCGGCGCGCGCGGCGCCGCTGCCAACGCGCGCCTGGCCGGCGTGCTGGAGAAGCTTCGCACCGCGGCCGTAGCCGCGTACCGCAGCTGGGCGACCTGGGCAGCCACCAGCCTGGCTGGGGAGCTGCGGGCGCTGGTGCTGGCTGACGACCTGCTCTGCGTTAATGCAATCCCGCTGTCTTGGCAGGTGCGGCGGTATGCGCGTGGTCGTGGTTTCGGGTGCGCGTGTGCGTGGGCAGGTACGTCTGTGCGTGTGGGTTGGGTGAAGCGTGGCGCTGTCAAGAGTGGTTAAGGAGTTGAGCTGGGGCGCGGATGGCGGGATGGGGGTGTTTGGGCTTCGAGGGTGCGGCCCAGTGGGGGCGCATGATGGTGCAGTCGAGGGTGCTGATGTTCGGGGTCCATGTGCGGGCAACGCCATCTGTCCATAATCACCCTCACAAGCTCGCGCCAACCCTCTCACGCAACTCCCCGCTCCTAGCCAATGCTTGGTATTCCTGGCAACCTTCTCCTCCTTCAACTGTGTGCATTTCCATGCACTCATCCTTCCAGATTAACAGCTCCCTTGCCGCGAAAGGAAGGAAACGCACGTGAACGTAGGGGCGTCCCGCTTAGCCGCTTAGTTCGGCACTGTGGCAGTTGATTTCCGCGACAGCATATGGTTTCCCACTGAACCGCCTTGCCGCTTCGACAGCAGCGAACCGATTAACTGATCACCGCTGCCACCTTCTGCCCGATGCTGTGTTTGCCCCTAATGGGATGCTGTGGCGATGGCTAATGGAATGATGCGACCTCATCAGGAGACGGTCATCGTGTCGGAGGCGGAGAACGCGCTAGCAGAGCCCATTGCGGACATGCGTTTCTCTCTGCCCGCATCACCCTCCGTGCCCGTGCTGCTGCTGCTGTCGGCCGCGTGCGCGGAGGTGCGGCGAGCGGGTGACCACAAAATCGGTAAGCGGGTGCCGGGAGTGGGCAGGCGTTCGGGTAGGGGGACCTGTGCGAGATCTGTGTGGGCCCTTCGCGGGAGAGAACAGGGCCAGGGGGAGCCGTGCCCAATCCACCTCATTATTGATGAGGAAGGCTTGTTTAGTATTCGTAGGGATACCTTTGCTGGGTGTGCCCGTAATCCACGTCCACGAGTGTTCCGGAATGTTTTCCAGATCCCCTCCGCCCCGCTGCATCCACCCTTCCTCTTTGGCCCATGCGCAGCTCCTGAAGCTCTCCAGGCCTTCGAGTGGGAGCTCTACCGCGCTGTCACCTCTACCTACTCGCAGCTGCTGCAGCCCGGCACAGGCGCGCTGCACGTGCGTGGCGTCACCGAGAAGGGCATACTGCAGCTGCTGCTGGACGTGCGCTTCCTGCGAGACGTGTTGGTGGGTGGAAGGCCCGTCACAGCGCGCAGCAGCGCAGCGACCACAGGCTCCACGCAGGGCTCGGCAGCAGCCGCGGCGGCGGCGGCTGCCGCCGCTGCCAGCGGAGCCGGCCTGACGTCGTTGGGTTCGGGCCTGCTGCCGGCTCCTGAGTTGGCGGACCCGACTTTGGTTTCGGCGCTGGCGGAGAGGAAACGGGATGGAGCGGCGCTGGAGCAGCTGCTGCAGGTGTGCACGAGAGAGAGATTGGGCTGGAGGTCTTCCTTTGTGAAAAGGTGGTGGAGGGGAACCCCCTAACAGCTAGAGTGTTTGGGACAGACGCACCTGAGCTCCCATGATGTTATGTTGCCCTTACCTTCCATGCCTCTGCCCGGTGAAGGATGCACCCACAGCTCCTTTCGATGCAATCCTCTGGCATTGTGCCCTGCTGAGCTCTTTGTCATATTGAAACAGGACTGTTTGGACCCCATTGACTGGGCCACCTACGAGTCCTACCTATGGGCCAACGAGGCACGTTACTTCCAGCGGGTGTCCATTATCTTTGGCGTCCTCATACAGCTGCAGAGAGCGCACCCCGAGCAGGCGGCAAAACTGGCGGCCTCGGGGCTTCAGGTGTGCGTCGGGAAGCATTGCATCATTGCACGTGGAATGGCTCTAGGGGGACTGCTCATAGGAATGAACAGCACTGGCAACATTGCACGGATTGTGTTGCAGCATCAGGACTTAGTAAGGTTTGGAGGAGGCAGCGGTGCTGAGAGGCGCGACTAATTGAGGTGCCCTTAACATGCTGTAAGTGCCCCTACCTCTTAAGGTGGTCACCTATGAATAGAACGTGTAGAGAAATAAGCCGTGACACGTTTGCAACATCCTGCTCTGCTGTCCATTGCTCCTTGCACATTGCTGACGGGGGGGCAGGTTGACCCGCTTCCCGGCAGCCCGACCTGCCACTTTGCCGCACTGGCACCGGACCTCATTCTTTGGGTTCACTGATTCTTGAATCCTTGCCCCGGTGCACTATTCCTCCACTGCAGGATTTCAACCCGCTTAACGTGCTGCCCGTCGCGCCGCGCTTCCAGTACCTGCCCATCTCCGCGCCAGCGCCCGCGGCGCAGCAGCCCGGCGCTGTAACAACCACGAGCGCAGCTGCAGCAGCGGGGGCTCCGGGGTATGGCGGCTCTGCTTCCAGTGCCGCCGTGGGTTCAGTGGCAGCCGCACGTCTTCGACCGAGCATGGGTGTGCGCAATCGCGGGGCAACCGGTAAGAGTGCGAGGTGAAGGAGGTGCTGTGCCTAGTTGCTTATAATGCTCATACAGCTTGTTGATACCACTTGTGTAGTCGTGGTCGTGTTGGGAAGCCTGCTAAGTCGGTGCTGCTCCGCCATCAGTAGGCACCGGCTTGCGTGCGTGCCAACCACCCTGACAGCGTATCCGAGAAGTGTGTTCGTCCTCAGGCATGTTTATCACGCTTACACAGTGTATGACTAGGAATAAAATTGCAAGATATTTGATTACGCAACCCAGCTCGTATGTCTGCGTGTGCGTGTGCCCCTTACACGTATCTCTGCGACGTAGGACCAGGACCGTCCTCTGCTTTGTCGTCCCTTTTTCCCTGCGTATACGCTCGGCATCGCACTCTTCGGCGGTTTCCTTCCTTTCTTACCATCCAACAGGGTTCCCTACCCATTCTCACCCTCTTCTCTAATACGTATTTCCCACACGCTGTCCGTCATGTGTGCGCCTCGCTCGACCGCAGGCTCTCCGGACTCTTTGGACACCTACTCCTTCGCGGACCTGGGCAGTGCGCGCATGGGGAAGGGCGCCATTGCTGGAGGCGGCTCGGCAGCGGTCTCAGAGGCAGCTGCGCCCTCGTCGGCGCAGTCGGCCGCTTCGGTGGGAGCGGCAGCGCTGAGCGCATTGCATGCGCGCTTCCAGGTGCGTGCACTGGGCGCATGCCTGGTTTTTTGACACCTGGTCGAGGCTGGGTGCACCCCTTGGGCGTGTGCCTGGGCATTTGCAGTGGGTGGGGGGCCCGAGCAGTGGACAGGGGGCCCTATCACGTTCGCAGGTCGCGCAGTGATGCTGCAATGTTCGCGGCGCTGTACCCGCCCGGTTGGAGGAGAGCAACGTTACAAGGGTGACGTCGGTCGTCGTCTTTGTTAGTGTTTGGGTTCGTTACTTAGGAGGGCGTTCCGTCTTTACCTCTCCTCATCCGCAGCTCACCTCGGCCAACTGCAGCCTCGGATGTCATCTATTGCCGCAACCCAAACGTAGCTGCGACGAGCCCTCATAGCACACCTGCCACTTTCTGCGCCTCACCCTGGCCCAAGCAATGTCGCATCGCCGCACTGAGCCCCATTTTTAACCCTCTTCACCCCATCCCTGCTCGCATGGCGCAGGCGGGCTCGTTGGGCACCTTCGGCTCCCTACTGGGCGACAAGGCTGCGGAGGTGACGGCCATGGCGCAGCAGCGGTTTGGAGAGTTTGGGGACTACCTGCCCACATCGGCACTGGGTTCTGCAGGTAAGTTACGGGAGGGAGAGACGAGATGGAGAAGCGCAGCCACCCCGATCAGGTGTAACTCCATAGCTTCATCTGGCTATTTTATTGTACGTGCGCCTTCAGCTATTTGTCAATAACAGCCCTTGCAGCCGGCGGCCCTATGTTCATGACAAAATTAAAGCTACTCCGCCTCCTCCTATCAGGATGATATTTCTGTTGTTGTTCTTCGTGGCGATGCGTGTATGTGTGCGTCTTTCACCGCCTTGTCTTGATTCCATTGCTTTCAACCCTCCAGGTGGCCTGCTGTCAAGTCTGGCTAAGAACGTGGTCAAGAAGTAGCCAGTAGGGATATGTAACTTGCAGAGGGGCGGCGAGCGCACAACGGATACTTTTTCACGATGTAAACTTGCAATATGAATGGGGACCTCCCCTTCTTATCGATCAGCTTGTACGATGGGCGCTGTGCTGGGCATGACTTGAGGCGAGCTGTGACTGAATGGCGCTGAGCGTGGGCCAGAGCGGGGAAGAAATATGTGCGGTACAGAACCTATATGGAGGGCTGCTTGGTTGAGGGCTTTGAGCGTTAGGGGTCGTTATGTAGGGAGTTCAGATTGCAGAGTTTGGTAAGGCGCTATCTTTCTCTACAATGGACCCAGAGGCAATCGCCGCTGTTTGCAGCAAGCACCTTTTTCTGGAGCATGCAACTGGGTAATGCGATATGCGGCGAATGAGATCCTCTGAACATTAGCTGAATTGCCCAGGAGCTTTCTTTTATCGTCTGTGTTGTGGGGTGGGTTCTTAACCGAGTGCCTCTTTAGCACGCAGTGGAGTGACCTTGAACGTCTAGCTCGTATCGGGAAGGTTTGCAGGTATGGGGGCTAAGCATCCGCACATACATGCACCAAGACACAATGCTCATTACGGGGAACAAGGCAGCTAACGCAAGATCAGCTAATGGGACGCCACCTCTGCAGCCGTCCACTCACAAGCGCACCAGATGCCATGCCTTGCGGAGGCACAGAGACTTAAGGGTAACTCAAGGCTCCTAGGTTACCCCTGGGAAACCATTCAATAGGTCTTTCTGTAGGCGACTCAAGGCTGTCAGGTGTCCAATCATATCGGCCACGCCGGCAGGGAAAGAGTTGTTGCTAAGCTAGTAATCCCAGCACCCCCGGACCTCAATGGACCCCATGGTAGTACATTGCGGTTGGAAGCAATGCTATGATCATGACGAGTAAAACTAACGGCAATAACCCAGGCAGTTATCTCACAACTGTGTGCCGTTCCCATAGTACGGTAAAAGCTATGTAAAGCATGTACCTCAATCACAGTGAAATACAGGAAAGCTTCCACCGCTTTACAAAGAATGGAGTTAGCTTACTTTTGGTTGCGGGCTACCGCCCGAAGCCTTCCCCGTACGGCAAGCTTGCAACCTGCGTTAACCCAAGCAGCGGAGGGTACAAGGCGCAGGGTCTTCTCGAAATGACTAGAGCCTTGCCTGCACCAAACCTAAAGTCCTTTGTTAAGGTATACCGTGGGCCGGAGCGACATTGGCTGGCATGCCGCTGCCATGCCGGCAGTCATGCCGCTGGCCATGCCATGCGGCCACGCTGGATGGAAAGAGCCGTACCGAGGACTATTTCCCCTGGCACTTCGTAGAAGGGCCTCAAGAGGATTTGCTGCCGCACGTGCGACGATGTGCGAGGACAATCAGATACCACGAAGGTGCATTTTATGGGGTAATAAATCGGCTAGATTCTATGGCAGCGATGTGCAGGGGCTTCGACGGGCTTAAGGTTCGGGAAGTACCGAAAAAATGTATCGCATTTGGTTCTGCGCAGCACCAAAGCTTCTCGTTAGGTACTCGATTAGCAGCAACATGGGGCGGGTCTTGCGATATTCAGAGATCCGCTACATTACAGCGGCCCCAGTCTTCTGTGCAATGCGCGTGCTTGGCATACTTAGGGTGCATTTCCAGTGCGGATTAAGGCCAGGGATTAGGGCACGGAATTCCTTGATACGAGCTTACCACATAGTTTTGTTCCATAAGGGAACCAAAGGTTGAAAAGGCGAGGTAAGTTTGCCAACAACTTAGCCGTTTGAGCAAGTATCGATGGAGGACAGAGGGTTAATCCCTGGCCTTAATCCGCACTGGAAATACACCCTTAGCGCCTATACCAGCCAGCTAATTTTTATGACTTAGGTAGTGTGCCCGTCCATGATTAGGCGAATTTTTTTTTCCTTTCATGTTTTGTTCGCTGGATGCCCGCGGTGGATGCCCCCGGTGCCCAGGGTGGTTCCGGTGTGTTTCGTAACAGGCAAAAGACTGACAACGAAACTGCACTTTTTGACGTACCATAAATATATTAAATTTTTTTACAACTGCAGTGGCCCTAATGGTGTAGATGTTCTACGGTTTTCTTTATAATTTAGGGCGATATCTCAAAGTAGGTTTCTGAAAGAACGAGAGCCAGCATAATGCAACGCGTAACGCGAACTCAGTCCGTGAGGACTCCCATGTATGCATTTTTATGTGCATGCCATTGATAGCTTGACCGCTGTTTGGTACCGGAGCGGCGTATTATTCGGTTACACGCACGTTGCGACGTGCACTGCCTCCGTGACGCCCCGGGATATTTTTAAACATAACTGCGACATTAGCTTACCCTTTTGGTAATTCCAAAGGTGTCTTCGCGTATAGGGATTCCTGTTACCTAAGGGCTTCGGAGCGAGCAATTGTTCACGTAAGGGTTGACATCTTTAACGATCGGTGGTGTCCTTGGTACCACGGTTCATGTGTTTTACAGAACCACTCTGCACCTTCATTTTTGGCGGCCTCAGAGTCTGCATAGGCTTCCCGGCTTTGAATCGGGTACGGGGTTGAATTTCTGCTTCAGTCTGGAGGTTGCGCGTAGCCACACGGATTAGTCTTGTTATTCTTGCTGAGTTACTAGGCGTGTTGTGGCCCCACAAAAGCTCAACTTGTCTACATTTTCCTCTCAGCTCGTCCTTGCTCGCTGTGCCCGACTTTGTACCAAATAATCGTGATATTTCTCTGCCGTGTTGACAACGGAGTTGGCCATCCTGGCATATATATTTCCTTAGCACTCAATAGCAGCTTTTGCTTCGCACTCACTCCGCCTAGTCCCGTCTCCTTGCTGTAATTGGCGGCTGTTTGACCTGGCTTCAGCTTACATGTCGCCGCCGTTAGCAGGTAGCAGGACAATGGCGGAGGAGCCTGCTAACGAGCACGGCTTTACTGAGGTTTCTGAGCAGCAGCCACCGCCGCAGCCTAAGTCCTCTGTGCTTCGACTGCGTGGGCTCCCATTCTCGGCTGGAGAGGAGGATGTTCGCCATTTCTTCTCGGGATTTAACGTAGCTCAGGTCGTCATCGGCAAGCGCGCAGGTCTGTGGTTCAGCGGGACAGGCTGACAGATCGGCGTTTCGCAAACTTTCGGCCTCCGGCTTCTCCGCAGGTCGTTCTACTGGCGAGGGCTACGTGCAACTTGACTCCACGTCTGCAGCAGCGGAGGCAATTATGAAGCTGCACCGGCAGACTTTGGGCCACCGATATATCGAGTAGGTGCTAGTTGCCTGTCGTTGTACCCACCGGTACACTGCGCTGAAAGGGTTTTGCGCCGCAGGGTCTTCGAGTCCACAGAGGCCGACCTTGCCACAGCAAAATCACTAAGCGTGGACCGTATGCGCGGCTTCGTTGTGCGCTGTCGCGGACTCCCTTACACGGCAACCGCTCAAGATGTGCTGAACTTTTTCGGCTCAGACGCGCCGGTCGTCCGTGGGATTGAAGGTGTTGTATTTACATATGCTCCTGACGGTCGCCCGACTGGCGAAGCCTTTGTGGAGTTTCAGACTGAGGATGCGCAGCGCGAAGCGCTTAAGAAGCACAAGGAAAGCATGGGCGCGCGCTACATTGAACTCTTTGTCAGCACAAAAGTAGATATGATCCAGGCGATTCAGCAGAACCGCCTGATTCTTGGCTACTCCAACCGCAAGCGCTGGCTGCAGCAGCAGGGTATCAATCTCGCACCGGGTCCTGCCCCTGGTCACATGCATCCTCACATGCAGCCACAGCACCAGAATCATTACGGGCCCCAGCAGCACCATGGCCCGCGCAGGCACCCGCAGTACGGGCAGGTGGAGGAGGTGACGGAGATGATGTCGGGTGCGTTCCCCTCGACAGCTATGGCGGGGAGGCGCGGTCGCGGAGGTGTGTGGGCTTGCTTTCTGCTGCATTGCGGGGTTCATTATGGCGAAGCGATTTAGTACTGACGAAATGAGCACATTTGAAACGAACATAAAGCGAGGAAATGGGCCTGGCATGAGAGGTGGAAGGCGACAGGCTAAAGCCGCGCCATGCCGCTTTTGGGACCCATTTTGCACTTGATTGTCTTGAGCTATGGAGCTTACAAGGTAAAATCCTTCCTATATAATCTTCCACGCTTTGTATCCTGCACGTTTGAACCTGATCTTACTATTTGCGTGCAAGAGTCAAGCCATCTGAATTGCAGAAGTTGTGCCACCAGCTTTAGATGAATCCAACACCCAGCCCTACTCCTACACCAAGTGAACAAGTGATGATTGCTACCTTCATTTTGTCGCAGGCTTCAACATGGGGGGCATGGGCGGGCATGCTGTTCAGGTGATCGGTCCTGGTGGCCAGATGCTTCCGTCGGGAACGTACCAACTGGAGGTCCCCCGTGAAGGCGGCGGCAAGCAGCAGCAGCAACAACAGCAGCAACAGCAGCAGCGGTTCGGCTTTCCGGGCCGAGGTGGTGGCCGGGGCGGTGCGCGGGGCCCTGGACCAGCCGCATTCCCGGGTCGCGGCCCTGCTGGTGGCATGGTCATGGGTGGTCGCGGTATGCAGCAGGTATGTATCGTGTGCCAACCTGTCGGGTCCAGAGCGGATTTTTCCATGCTTGGGATGTGGCATTCAGCATTGCTGTAATTGGTGTTCCGTTGACAGGCGGATGGCTGTTCTATGAGCGTTGGGTTGGCTATGACTGCGTTGGCGTTGCTTCTTGTTTATATTCCCGTTCCATTGCTCGATAAGAGGTAGCATCGAGGCGCTATTGCTATTGCTTGTCCTTTTGGGACAGGCATGGATGCCAACAAGCTACCTATTGCCTAAACCTACAACCCTGTAATGTCCCGGTTCTTCCCCTTGCAGTTCGGCCCAGCACGCCCGCCACCGCAGGTTATGGCGATGGCGCCCATGCCCCCAGCCGCGCGCCAGACTGCGCAAGTTGTGCCCGTGGCTGCGGCCGCGGGGGCGGGTAACGGTGGTCAAACGGTGATTATGCAGGAGGTGCCACAACAGGCTGGCGCGCAGTACATACAGTACGAGCAGCAGCAATGGGGCCAGCAAGTCATTGTGCAGCAGCCGCAGCAGCAGGGTGCTACTCAGCAGCAGTCGCCGTTATACACTACTGGCGCTAGCTCGCAGCAAGGCACAGCTATTCAGGGTGCGTCAAGAGTTTTGTTCAGGGTGGAAACGGGCTGGGGTTATTTACTACGTTATCGGTGTTCACCAAGTTCTAGTCGTGGGCATTATGCCCCGACATAGCTTCTGCTTTATTTGAGGGAATGTTGTAATGGCAACACGCGTGGAGTTACTTTTCCCGAAGAAGCTGATTGCGTCAGCCTAGGAAGCGGTTTGCATAAGGAGAAGTAGTGGCAGCATGTTACGCCATGTCCCATGTGTCAACGTGCGTGGTAGCATGTTTCCGTACCCCAAACAGCGCCGAAACTGGTGCCCATGCAGGCGTCCCGAGACACCTCGTGTGAATTTCAAACAGGTCACGCGTATGTCGCTGTATGCAGTATGCAGCTTTCACTCTTTGCCTATGACGCCATTCTATAGCTGCATTATTATATCTTGTCCTCACTTTTCGTAATAAGTTTGGTATACTGCACGTTTTTCCTCGTAGGAGTTGCGCCCGGCACTTACACTCTAACCACTAGTGTTATTCAAGTGCCGTCGGGTGCGGGGGGTGGCGCTGGCGGCTATTCGGACTACCAGCAGCAAGTACATTCGCTGCAGGGACTAGACGGTTCGGCCGGGACTGGCGGTCTGCAGGTGCGATGGCATGCTAGGAACGGGTTGTTAGCGATGCCTGTTGGGCTTGTTTTGCAAATGACGTAGTGATTTCAGCATTCTAAGAGTATTCGGATAAAGTATATGATGCGTGTGCAAGAAGGCAAAGCCAGTTTTTTTGTCACTCGAAACTTCTGCCGCATCAGGTATTGACCGCTTGTGCGTTCCCACTTCCTGTCCTTGCTGCCCCTGGCCGGCCTCTTCCTCTTGCCTCTATGCTGCCGCTGCCCGCGGCCATGTCGATCGCCGCTCACGCAGGCAGCCGACATGGGGTCCACGCTAATGGCTGGGATGCCGGGGCCAGGCCTGGGAGGTGGCGGGATGCTCCATAATCACCATCATCACATTAGTCGCTACGATGGTCATGCGCGTGGCCCTGGCCTCTAAACCCGGCAGTGCGACAGCTGCTGTGTCGCGTTGCGCTGGTGCTGATCTCTTCATGGCGAGCTGTTTTTGCCAACAACGGGGCGCATGTAATTACATAAGGGCGCAACGACGTGTTGGCCTGGCCTACCATGAACGGGATTCAGCGCCTCTGATCGCCACGTGCTGGACCTTCACGTGAATTATCCGGTGGCTTCACGTGCCATGCGATGGACCGATGTTGTGGCAGTGGTGGTGGTGTAAGGTAGGGCAGTGTGAGGTGCTAAATGTGACAAATGGTGCACAATGATTGGCATCAGGCTGGGGGACCCGCTGATGGTAAGCATTTGAGCCCACGGATGGAATGAAATATTGTGTGGTCGGTCGTCTATCAGACCACCCGCAGCACAGGTGGAAAGCTCTACAGGTTTGGCCCAGAGGAGATTTCATGGCTATGGCAGGCGATGCGGCGGTGGCATCGGACGGGATGTGACCCCGGTAGAGCGCCAGGTGGCGGCCGTCGGCGCCCTTCACAATCCTTTCCACACTCGTGCTGCTGGGTAATGGATGATGACCTGTGGCTTTGCTTTATTACGGCTTTCTTGCACGGGCCGGATGTTGCCCGCGTTGCTGATTGGCCCGCTTGCCTGATTGGCAACGCGCTCCCGGCACGAGGTGAGTAAAGCTGTCAGGGTGGTCTGCACTCTCTGCAGTTTCTCCGGAAGGCCCATGGCTAGGCAACGTAATGACTTGTGAGAGATCTTTCGGTTTTGGTGTGTTCTGTCCGTCTGCTTCTGTGCACACCGTCGTCCGGTGATTCGCGTGCTCGGTCTACTCTCTAGCATGTGGCTAACCAACAGACGGCTCTCTTAAATCGTAGCGCGCTGCGGATGGGATTCCCAAATGGTAGTCATCTCCCAGTCAGCAGTTCATGCGGATATCAAGATGCGATGGGTTGCTTAATAGTGTGATACCTCAAGGAGATGAGTGGAGCATTGCTCTTGGAATTTAAGCACATAGAGGCTTTGACTTGAACGAGGTGTTGTCATTTGGCGGGCGAAATAATGGCGGAAATGCCTTGTCTGACGTTTTGCTAACGGGAATGGCTGGTGGAAATGTTGGGTGATGCTTTCGATCAATCCGGCATCTTGTGTTTGGGAATTAGGCCGTCTCAGAAGCCATTATATTCTATTGGAGAGGTTATGCTCCAGGAGCATGGCCGAGGCTGTTGGCTACGTACGTTTTTGCTGTTGCTGCTATCCGCGGCTACTTTGCAAGTATAAGATGTGGGCCCAGAGGCGGCGGTGGATGACTGGCTTTAGGTTTGCTTAGGACGTGCCATGCCAAAGGTAGTAGGTGGGGTTCGCCGTTTGTATGATCCTTGTATAAAATCAGGGAGTTTGAAGACTTATTGTGGCAGCTGCTTGGGGTGAAAACCATGGTCATCGCACATTTAGGTAGCTCCATCCGCATTCTTGACCCTGGCGCAAAGACGTATACCGCCGCGTTCGGCAGGACAAATCACATACGTGGCGGGGATAAGTTACGTTTTGATGGGTTATGGTATGCAGTCGCGTTCACGAAAGTACGGTGTTATGTGTCTTTTCTGCTGTGCAAATGGATTACTTCAGCTGCTGGGCAATCGCTGCTTTTTTTTATTGAATCTCACCCCCACCGGTCAATTTCATGTGGCCCCGTCTGTCGCAATGAAGGTTTTCCAAGGTAAAGTTTGGTTATGCGCACGCCCACCTTGCCAAGCGCGTGGATGTCCTCCGAGGCGCTTCGCGTGCGGTGGGATTACCTAGCCTGGCAGAGTCGAGATTAAGAGCGCGCGCCTTCACTGCATGCTTAGATGCATAGCACGTAACGCGGCGCTGCTGATACCGGGTTGGCGTCGATTAAGGGCGCAGCACAATGTCAATGCGTGCATGCCCACGGTCGTACTACTTCTGGTGTGGCGAGTCCTCATTTCCCTGCGAAATGTGCAGGCCGGGCCAGGGGCAGACGTGCAGGCCGCCGGTTAGAGGACAGGCCAATAGGAATCTGCAACTTATCTTGAAAGGTTAGTGTGTCCAAGGAACCTATGATAGCGATATTTTCGGTTATGTGATGGCAGAGGTAGACATGATCTGGTACACAGACGAGACCCTGCTTCGAGGCTCCTGGCGAAAATATTCCGAGCGCACGACGCGCGTGTCTGCATGCATGCGTGCTTATGCTGTCGGTTGCACACTCCTCGGCTTAGCTGCGGGTGGCATTGTGCGTTGGAGAATGAGGTGGACCGTGTTGCACGGACGGCTGCGGACCCAAATCATGGGACACAACCGAGCGCTCTCAGGGGATTGGACACCTCTGCTTTTGCATGCAGTCTCCATGTTATATAACACTTACAGGCAACACAGATGCAGCTGCATAAGAGGGAGAGTGTGTAACTTAAGCCGCTTACATTTCTTTTCCGTCCTCTTCAATGCCGCGCCGTCCTAAGATTGCCATGCAAGAGCCAAGCAGTCCAAAGTGTCCTTGGTTAGCGTTAAGTGTCAGAATGGGCTGTCGCCTTAGCACCTTCATGACAGGTGTGGGACACCAACATGCACCAAAAGTGCCTCGTCCTTGCTACGCCTAATTGCTACCTTGTAATTTAAGGTAGCAGGATAGCTACCTAGGCACCGTGCGGGGTGGTCACCAGGTTCCGATCAAACATACCCATGCACGATCGCGCGACAATATCTACCTCTTGCGACATAATTCATGCCAGCATCTCCATTCATGCAGATGCCATGGTTCATTCATCATCATCTCTTCTAGTCCCCTTACGTGTCGATACTCCTCTTCTCCACACACGACGTCCAGTAACACCAGTCCCGTTGCCATGAACGGAGAGAAGGGCATAGACAGGCAGTCCCCCGCCCGCCAGAACCCCCTCGACTAGCGGATTGGAACAGCTAACCATTGCCAGCACCACGAAGCCTCAGTCATCAAGCATGCACAACAGAGCGACGCCCTGCAGAATCCAAAAATCGCTGCTAGTGCCGTCCCGCATGGGAAGGCTCACACATAACACGAAGTTGGTTGATTGGCCCGTTGTGCTTAGCACCCCCGCGCGCACGCTGGTCTTATAAAGCGGGCATTGGTACTCGGACGACGGAGGTTCGTAGTCCTGCGAGGATGGTGGTGGCACAGACGCCGAGGTGCGAGGTGCCAAACACGGTGGACCGAACAGTGCGGGCAATGGTGGTTTGGGACGCTGGATGGCATTAGCATTTGTTGGGTATGGCTGCCACCACTTCCCAGGCCGAACTGCCAATCAGCTAAGAGGACGCCGTAAAGTACTTGCTACGGGTCCCTAATGGCGATGGGCAAAAAGCGATTCTCCTTCATCTCAACCCCAATATGCATCCAGCCTCATGGACACCCACAGCGCCGCACCAGGGCCGCCACTGACCTCGCCCTGGCCCGTGCACAGGGTTTCCCATCGACTAGCATCCATGCCGTGCTAGTGCCGCCATCACCACTACCTACCATACACCAATCACCGAGCCCACATCCACAGCCCCCCATACCTGCATAGGCTTGAAGTGTATGACTGGCAGCGGCGCGTACATGACGCCCGGCTCGCTCTCGTCCAGCCAGGCTGCGGAGCGGTCCCATCGCGCTCCATCAATCCACAACCCGTCTATGAGGATGCCATCCTCTGGCACCGCCTCCAAAGGCACCTGGTCGGGCGCGTCGTGTGGCGTAACTTGAAAGCCGAACGACAAAGTGTCGATCGGGATCGAATACTTGCGCGCGTGCATCTGGAGCACACCCGTCATGAAGCCCTGCGCAGGGTACGAGAAGCAGGAGGAGCAGGACGGGGAACAGATTGGTTTTGGTGCCAGAGGGTTGTGTGCCGGGAAGATGTGGATAGCTATACCAGACATACGGGGTAGCCCCAGAAGAGGACATGTCCTAGAAAATTAAAAGAGACATACAGACACGCAGACGCAGAAGAAGGCAGCATCAGGAGGCAGTGACACACCAACACCGCACCGGCAGGCGCGGTGCAAAGTGGTGGTGTGACCTCACTTCCACTGATGTGGCTCACTAGAAGGAGCATCACAAAGATCGCTGTCACAGCAGAACGGCGGCAGTAGTGGGGATGGCAACACGGGGGACGGCAACACGGGGCTGCAGACGGATCGCACCTGCGGGAAGAAGAAGCCAGGCAGCCAGAAGCATTTGGGAGTGCCGCCAGCCAGCCAGGACCGCATGAAGCCGATGCGCTGGTGGTAGTCCGCAACCCAGCTGGCCAGGGGCTTGAGGCTGGGATAGGCGTATCGAGACCAGGCCTAACAGGGCGGTAGCGGGGGGGCCGGCATGTGAGTCAGTCTGCATGCGCGTACAAGCCGAACCCTCCCTGCGCTTCATGCTCATGTAGCTTTACCCACTCCCCAAATAACTACCCTCCCCTTCCTCCTCTTCTCTCGCTTCCAAATCAGTCAAAAGCCCGCTCCCGATTCCTTACACTCAACGCTCCTCCAGCTCGAGCCTACACATTCTCCGGCTTCCCCCAATTCAACATCCTTTCCCCTGTCTCCCCCCTTCCCTTCACCTTCTTTGTACCCGCACAAATTCGCGCCCACTCACCTCTGGCACCTGGTTGTTGAGCATGCTGTTGTACACCCCCTCCAGCTCCCCGCTCATCACCACCAGGCCCTTAATCGCCTTTTGCAGCTCCGCCAGGCTAGATGCCACCGCCGCAGACAACCGGTTAAAGCGGTCCATCTCCTGACCCAACACCACGCTCAGGCTATTGAGCTGCCCGGTCTCGGTGCGGTCAAACAGACCCGCCGCCGCCTCGTCGCGGCTCAGCAGCGGCGGTAGCCCTCCTTGCAACTCCGCAGCCAGCTCCGAAACGGTCTCGTCGGGGGACTTGCCCGCGGACCCGGAGCTGAGACGTGGCTGGATGGACAGCACTGCCTCCACCAGCTTGCGGGTCTCCTGCAGCTGGAAAGAGATATTGGCGTTGGTGTGCATGCCGAACACTTCGGGTGCCTCAGTGGCGGGCAGGCCGCGAATATAGTCGCGGTAGTCCTCCAGGCTGCCCTCCGCATTTGGGCTGTAGTAGAGGCCTGTTGTAGGGTGAAGCGTACGTGGGGCGAAAGGATAGACGCGGGTGGGTGGAAGCAGGGTGGGTGGAAGCGGGTGGGTGGAAGCAGAAGCTCGTGGAACGCTAAATCTACAATGACCTGTGGCAGCATATGTAAATGAGCGAGAGGGTGCTGCTAGTCAGCAGCACCAATAGTAGCAGGAGACGACGCACGGTGCCGCTCTGTTGATTGGACCCCCTTTCCTGACCCGTGGCATGTTGCTTGCGTTGTAATCGCAAGGGGTAAAGCTCCAGGAGGTTGTAGTCATGTTACTTGGCGCCCTCCTTATGCCATAACCGCCCCACTGCACCAGACTTCCCCCCTCACCACTTGGCGTGAAGGTGTAGCCCTCATCCAGCACGCGCGGCGTGATGTACTGGCGCAGGATGGACATGAGGCAACGCCGGTCCAAATCGTCAGTGACACGACCTCCGTAGTTGATTTGTCCCACAACGTATTCGATGGCCGGCCAGGGAATCTGCTCCTGTTCTGACAGGAACATCCGCAATGTCATGGCGGAGCATTCCAGATCCGAGGTGTTGAACTCGTAGCGGATGTTCCAGCCCAGCGGCCCGAACTTGCGCCGCTCCTGCACGACGGCATGGAAGAAGCTGAGAGCGAAGAGCAACTTCTTGAAGGGCACGGGCTTGGCAGGGCAGGCGTTGAGCGCCTCGGGGGTAAGGTCGTTGTAGGTGCGGTTGATGTTGGCCTTGACGCCCTTGGGCGGCTCATTGGTCAGCTTGATGCCGTTTTGGAGCACCAGCACGGGGAAGACCTTGCTGGGCATGGAGGTCAGCCATAGCCGGAACTCGGGATGGACCTGCGCATGGTGCAAAACACATGCACGCAGGCGTGGTGGGAGGTTGTTAAGGTGCGGCTGGTGGGCATGTTGGGGGCCGGAAACGAAAGAAGACGCGGGGTAAGGCTGGGCCTTCTCAGGGCTGGGCTGGGCTCAGTAAAAAGAGGGTCTGAAGTGGACGCTGTTGTAGAAGTTTAAGCTTTCCGTTGCCAGGGCATGTCGCGCGTTGGCTTATTGCCCGCACCTCCTAAGAAACCATCTCCTGCCTGCCGTTCAGCAGGCACCGTCTACCCCACGCCACGAAACGTGCCCTCCTTACCCACCCTGACCCACATTCCTTTCACCCCTGCGCCACGTTTTCCTCCTCCCCGCCCGCCCGACGTTGTGTGCACTCACCCACCCCACCTAACCGCCCCTTCACGACCCTAACCTGCGTGGATTCCTTAGACAGCTCCTCCACTTTCTCCTCCAGTCGCAACATCCAGGAGGACGCCAGATGGCAGTTCTGCAAACACACCCAGTCACCGGTCTTAATGGCCTGGTTGATGAGCATCTCCGCAATGGGGCCCTGGCCCTGACCCAGTGAGATCATGTGCAGCCGCTCGCCCGTCACGTAACCGTTCTTCTCCGCGAAACGCTGCAACATCGCGGTCGGGTCGGCGCCCGTAGACAGGATGAAGATGATAGGCGTGCGGCAGGAGGTGTCCGGAAACACGTCGTCCAGCGACCATGGCGGCGGCTCCGTAAATTCGGTGCCCAACTTGCCGGCCACGTACTGCGCGCAAGCAAAGATGAGCTTCTCCTCTCGGAGCACTTTAATAACCAGCAGCTTAGCGAAGGGGCGCTGCGAGGTGAGGCGCGTCTCCCAGTCGCCAGGCAGCGGCAGCAGGTGCGGCTCGTCAGCCTCAAACAATGCCTGCCACTCCATACCCTCTGTAGCGAAGGACTCAGCCAGGCCAGAAAATACGTCGGGAACGGTGTGTTCCAGGTGCATGAGTGCGGTCCAGGCGGCGTGGGTGATCCAGTCGGGATGGGGATTGGGCCGATTGGGGGGCGGTGCACCGCCGGCACCGCGCACGAAGAAGTTCCATTCGGCGGCAGTGATCTCAGGGCCAGCGGAGACATGGCGGAGGACCGAGGTGCACAGCAGGAAACTGGGGACCGGTGAGGTTGGCGGGTAGAGAGCACGGTGGGGAAAAAGGGCAGGGAACGGGCATTGAAATGGGGACCGGCGGCATGATGTTGGGTTCTGGACTTATGCAGGCTGCACGTGATGCTGGGATTGCATTGGATTGGGTTGGGTTGGGCTGTGTTGCACAGGTTCATGCGGGATGGCCAGAGAACGTTTCACCTCCATCGCGACTAGTTACAGTGACGCCCTATGGAGCAACCTCGAAGCCCAACGCTCGAAGGCGTCACAGGACAACCATCCTGCGTCCTGAGCCAAAGGGAGCTCCAGCCTCCTACGGAACCGTGCAAAGCACAAAGTACCGCGGCGACCCGACGAAACGCCAATCTTCCGCTATTTGTTAACTTCCTACGGTCCTAACCCTCCTCCGCCCCACCTGTACAAGAGCTTGTGCTCCTCGAACAACCCACGCGACACATTGTTGTAGATAAAGCGAGTCACAAAGTCGCTCAGCAGCTGCAGCCGCGTTGGCACGTCGTCCGCCTTCTCCGACTTGTCAATGCAGTACGAGAACATCTTGGCAAAGTACGACAAGCTGAACTGGTACATGGGGCTGATGAGCGATAGGTCGGCGATTACAAAGTAGAGGATGGATCCACGGGTCGCAGCGGGGCGGTAGTGTTCGCGCGCCTCATTGATGGAGCGCTCCGTCACTTCGGCCTCTTGCACGCGGTTCTGCAGAGGGGCAGAGAGGCATGTCAGAGCAAGCAGGCCAAGGAGCAGGTAAGGTCAGCAGCGATTATGGACGAGTGTGCTCGCCAGCAAGTTTTGGGTTCTGGCGCTCGGGAAAGAGGGTAAGGAAGGTAGGAATCATGTCAACAGCCCGTCCGGGCACCAGTGTTGCTAAATGAGTTCATCACCAATTCCTTAGCTTGATTTCTAAACCACACATATCTTGAAAAAAATTCCAAAGAGTTATGCAATACGATCCACAGCAGCCCATGCGCGTAATGCTCGGCGGGTCCTCATTGCCTCAATGCCCGCTGCTCACCGAGATGACGCTGCTGGTGGTCTTGGAGTGGTTGAGTGTGTTGATGAGCTGCTCATCGTCCAGAATATTTCCAGAGCTCTCTTTGAGCAGCTTCAGGATCTTGTCCTCCAGCTCACCCAGCTGCTTCTTGTCGGCAGAGATGGACAGCACCAGCCGGTCCTTGGCCTCCTCCAAGTCGGGCCGCTCCTTGCGAACCACCTCGCCAAGAAGCTGGTCCTCGAGACCCTGCGAAGCAGAAAAAAGGGAGCCGGAAAGATCCACACGGAGGAAGTGTAAAAATGTAGGGGAAAACGTATTACAAGTTGGTTAGGGTCACGGCTGATGGTGGAGAACCGGGGTCGGGCCCGTCGGATGTAATGCCCAGGGGAGCATGATGGAAATTAGTGGCGACAAAACCCCAACAGGCGGACCATACACGCATGCATGCACGCATGCACGCACCTTCATCGTGACCGTAAAATTGATGATGGTGACCTTGATGCACACCTCAGGCAGGTAATGGGGGTTGGCCAGTTTTGTGGTGATGAAGAAGCGGAAGTTGGGGTCGTAGTCAACGTCGCTGTCGCCTAGTCGGATCAGGGTGCGACCACCCTGGAGGGGAGGAGGTTGGGAATGATGGAAGGAGGAGAAGATGGAAAGGATCTGGAAGAAGCAGAATAGTATTAAGGTGGAGCTTGAATAGACATCAGGGAAACGGACACCAAAGGGAGACAAAACCTGCTCCCTCCAAGGGGAGACAAAACCTGCTCGCCCGTGGTACACACATGTACGTTCACATCGGCTGCTTATGCTTCGCGCACCGCCTTCTTCCCCCAAAGCTGATCCTCCCAAACTCCACCCCAACCGGCCAACCCCATAACGCACGATGCTGGCGTTAATGTAGTTACCGTGCAACGCACAGCCGCAGCCCGCACTACACCGCCAGAGCCCTGAACAGCCCCCTTTCCCCGGTACCCACCTGCTTGAAGATGGCCTTTTGCAACACGGGCTCCAGTGCAGGGTCCAGCGCCTCACCCACGTCCTCAATCAGCACCGGGTTGCCGATGCGGATCGAGTTCTCCAGCGTCCGCAAGAAGTTGCCATCCGTGAGCTTGATGCAGCGCAACCCGTTACGTGATTCCATGGCCTTGATCCAGCCATTGGCCTGACCCTGTGCGGAGCCAAGGTCGGGGTCGGGGTTCAGGGTTAAATATCCGGTTCGGGTCCCGGGCCTCCACATGACCATCTCCACAGCACAAAGGCCTCCACGACCCCGCTTCTTAACTATTCCAGGATCCATTTATGGACGGAGCCTACCTGCGGGTCGATCATGAGCGGCCAGCGCTTCCCCCTGGTGACCAGGATGCCGTTATCCACCGAGACGTCGTCCGTGGGCAGCCCCCAGATGTTCCACTCGCGGATTTCCACCGGGTTGCCCAGAGTGGATCTCAGCGAGGCGGCCTCGGAAACCGGGATCCCGCGGCTCTTGCACTCGGCGATCCAGGAGGAGACCAGCATTTGCCGGTAGGCGCCCGTGAAGGCGCCGTAGTAGGCGATGCAGGCGGCCGATAGGAATACGTCGCCGACCTGGCGGAGAGGGATGGGGAAGGGAAAGGGGAAGGGGGAGAGAGTGTGTGTGTAAGGGGAGGTATGACACCTACGTGAGAACAAGCAGTGTGGTCAGGGCCGTGATGAGGAGGCGCATGACCACGGGCCCAGTAGCAGCACCAGGCCCCAGGTGAAGCGGTTGCACCCACCAGTTTGATCAGCTGCTCCCCGATGGTCTCCGCAGTGGCCTGCCAGCGCACCCCCTCGTCCGCCAGACCACTGGTCAGCTTGCCGGCACGCTCCAAGCGCTTGCGGGTCAGGTCCGCTTGGTCGTTGAGCTCCCGCTGCTCCCGCTGCGCATCCGCCAGCTGCCGCCGCAGGTTCTCCACACGCTCCTCCACCTCCCGGAGCGCCGCCTGCTTGTCGGCCAGCTTGGCGTTAGCCTCAGCTAGCTGGGACTCCGCCTGCAAAGTTTAGGGGATAAGAGGTGGTTGGTTGGTGGTTAGTGTGCAGGTTTGGGAAGCTGGAACTGGGGTTAGTTGATAGGGTGAAATGAGAAGAGAACGGCGCGGAGAGGGCGTCTGGTTGGGAAAAAATATTGAAGGCTGGTTGGGTTGGAGATCGGTCAGGAGTTGCTTGGAGCATAGCTGCTGTGTGCATGTGATGCCGGGGGAAAGGAGCTAGGGTAGAGGTAGGTGGTCCGCGACATTGTAATGGCAAGGGTAGTAACTGGCAGCAAACGGCAACAAAGCTATATGAGGGAGATTGAGGGGTCCTTGAGGGAAAACAGCACCCAGCACTGTGCGCATGCCATAATGCAAGGGAGCGGAAAGGATACCTTGGCGCGCATCCCTCCGGCCTTGGCCCTCTCTGCCTCGACCCGAGAACTGCCCGGGCACTATCCGTTCCGATGCGCCTCGCCACTTGGTCGCCTTTACCCCCTACACCCCGCTCACCTGTCTCAGCGCTATCTTCTTTGGTCCCACCACCTTGGCCACCCGGTTGTATGTGTTCATGGCGTGTGTCCACATGCACAACGAGCGGGCGGCCTTGGACACCTTGGCCACCAGGTCGGGAGTGTAGTCGGGGTTCTCAAGGTACCTGGCCACATCGGGGTTGGAGGGGAGGGCACGTGTAGGAGGGGGGGAGGTCAGCAAGGCATTAGGAGAGATAAAGGGCGGAGTGTATACACTAAGGTGTGCTTATGCACAAACATGGGGATTTGAGAACGAGGGACAGATTGGGACGGGTAGGAGAGGGAGTGAGACGACAAAACTCGTAGATGGGTGGAATGCCGCTTGTGAATTGTGACACGCAGCTTGTAAGCCGCTTGTGAAAAGCCGCTTGTGTGTGGCGCCGCACAAGGGCGTGGTCGTGCCACTTTCAGCAACAGCGGCGGCAGGCGCAGCAGTAGCAGTAGCAGTAGCAGGACTTCGCCATCCTTCTCGCTCCCCCACAAATATCCCCCATCTCGCTAGCCCTCTCACTTTTGCAACTTTTTAATGGTTGCGTCCGAGATGTTGTCCTTATCGAACTCCTCCAACGAACGCATGAATCCACCATCACCCAGCAGACGCTTGGCGGTGTCCCAGTCGGGTTTTTCACCCTTGAGGATGCACACAGCCTCCATCGTCATCTGCAGTTCGTCATTTAGAGATGCAGTGAAATCGGGCAAGCTGCCGGTCCGGATCCAACCAGGGCCGGTCCTGAATAAAGAAATAGGTCTCGAATTATTCCACCTTTGAATTTCAAATTTGAATCCTGGCAGGAACACATTGAGGAAAAAACATGGAACCCAGACAAGGACAAGAATGCGAGACTGCCACGAAGCGTGTGTGTGGGGACCTGCAGTGTGATCAGTGCAGTGTTGTCGGCAGAGACCTGTGGCCGGCCACAACCCGGGGGCCCATGCAAACCCAACCTACGCACCTGCACCGCCTGAGGTGGCTTAGGGAAGGACTTGATTTCCACAATATCATTCTTGTCCAGAGCCTGCGGTCAGACCAGGAGTGTTAGGTAGGGCGTAACACAGGACTTGGTGCTTGTTGGGGCGGTGCGTGTTGGTCTGGTGTATGCGAGCATTGAACCCCCAAACATATCTCTCTCTCTGTTTCCCCTCCCCTCCGCACCTTGAGTGCTGCTAGAGCGGCGTTAAGTGCGGGCATGGCCTCGTCCAGGTCCGCCTTTGCGCTGTCCGCCATGGCCTGCGTCTCCACCTGCATAGCCTTTACATCCCGCTCCTCCGCCGCCACCACTTTTTTTACCTTTTCCGCCTGCTCCTGGTCCGCCGCCACCTGCACAGCACCGAGCAGGCGCTCCCACATGTCGCCGTTGCACAAGCTACTATATACACACGTCATCCCATTCACAAGAGTGTCAGAAGCAGAAGAGCTCGAAACTGAGGGAAGACACAAGCCGCGGGACCACACAGGCACCAGACGTGCCCGGGCCCCTCCCCCGCTGTCAACTTGGTGCCGCACCTTGACCAGCAGGTCAGCTGTGGCTCTGGACTTGGCCTCCAGGATGGGCTGCAGCCCCGCCAGCTCGGCTTTCATCCGATCCACCAGGGAGTTGGTGTCGCTCAGCTTGCCCAGGCCGTTGAGCAACCGGTCCTTGGCGGTGGACAGCTCGTCGCGCTTGTCGCTCAGGAGCTGCAAGCAGGAAAGTAAGGGAGCATGAGTAAGGATAAGTGCCGGATGGATTGCGGGGAATGGGAAAGCAGGAATAAAGGCGTAGGCGGTTGAGAGCGGGAGTGTGGGTCCGTGTACAAACTATTAACCAGGTATGGGGATGGTCTCAGCAATGACCCCGACCTCGGCCGTTGTTCACACAGTATTAAATCTAAGTCAGTAATGCAACAACGGCTTGCACGCGACACGGAAGGATGCGGAGGGTCTGAAGGGGGTGCCAGCGGGTTTGAAGGATGCATGTTACAAGAGTGTGTGTGTGTGTGTGTGTGTGACACGCCTAGTTCAGGAAGTGGTTCTGCATGCAGTTTCCAGCGAGGCAGAGAACAGGATAGCCGGAAAGGATATGTCTACAAAACATCTGGGCTGACCTAATGCGGCAGCCGCGGAAAGGTGTCCACCATGGGGGATGGAACCCATCCATCGGTCATGAGCGCACGCGTGATCAACGCGCTAGCAACAATAGCGACAAGCATCACAGCAACGAACCCAACCTGGAGGTAGAGGTTGATGAGGTCCAGGTAAGACTTGGGGGTGGTGTAGTAGCGGCGGCGGAGCTCGGCATAGAAGCGATCTGAGGCGGTGGACACGCTCGTATGGATCTGTCGGTGTGGGGCCCGGGCAACAGAGGGGACAACAAGAGGGATGTGGTGCAAGGCATGTAGGATAGAGGATGTGGTATGTGGAATGTGTAAGGACGTGAGGCCAGCGGAGGGCATAGGAGTTTTGGTGGGGTCGGCCACACGGCGTGTGGAAAAGGTAAGGCAGGCAATTGGGCCATCTGCAGGTAGGCAGGCAGGTAGCCAGGTAGGAAGCATGGAATCGCAGAAGGCAGCATAAGGCGGGCGGGAAGTCCGCGCGCCAAGTCAGATGCCCCAGCACGTAGGCAATGGAGGCGCCTCAAGCCCGTTAGATTGAGAGCTCCGCGACAGGCCGGGACATGGCTATAGCCCGGCCGCCAACCGCCCGAAGCGCACATCCTCGCGACCTTAACAACACCTCGGCGCACCCTCCTTCCTCACCGTCACACACATAGCCGCCAGCGCGTCCCGCACAGCATCGCCGCCCAGGTCGGTGTTCGCCAGGAACTTTTTACTCACGCTCAGCAGCGCTTCCTGCGGGGATAGGACCAGAGCAGCGCAGAGCGATGTTGCGGCAGGGGCGGCGACATTCATCCAGGAAACCAGGTAATCACGAGCATGAGCCCCTCCATGCGCATCCGCAGAACACAGGGTACTGGCGGGTTATCGGGTCGCCAGGAAAAGGACGGCCGCTATCGGAATCCTCCGAGGACTAGCGGAGCTCCATGCCGGCAGCAAGGTACGGCAAGTCATGGTGGGTCACGGGAGGCTTGGGGGTGGCAAGGCCACGTAGCCGCGGCCAGCAGCAGCTGACAGCCAGTCACAGCCATCAGCGTATAGCTCTGTGTCGAAAGGGAGCAGCGTGCAGTCTTTCTCCACGCACCTCCGGCCAGGCGCTGAACCAGTCGATAGTGGTACAGTTGATAAGCGAGGGGAACTGGCGGCAGCGTGAGCGGAAGGCCTCGCCCACGGGGCTCATGGCCAGCACCAGATGCAGGTTGTCCCGCACGCGGTTGATGAAGGCAGTGTAGCAGCCGTCCTTGCTGGGGTTGCCGCCCGTAGCCAGTACCCACTCACGGATGTCGTTTACAATGCGGTCCTTCTCATCCTGAGGGGAGAAGTCGTACGAGGAAAACGGTAGTTTAAGGAAACGTGTGTGGGAAAATGGAGGACGGACGCAGACAAGATCACGGATAAAAAAGGAGGGGATCGGGTCACTGCGGGGAAAGGATGGCATTTAGGTGCCGCAGGGTTCGCTGGGCAAGACGGCGTGTATTCGCTGGGGAAGATTTGCCCCACATCGCACACGGTGTGGAGAGAGGAGCAATGTCCTTTGGCGATAATGCGGAAGTTAGCACTATGGACGGGTGTCCGGCGCAAATCAGCACAATTTCCCCATCCGGCAAGGATTTTCGCGGCCTACCCACGCGGGTTGCTGAATACAACCCAGCCGGTGCACCCCTGGTCATCGTCCTGGAGAGCCTGGCGCAGTCATCCTTGAGGACCCCCTTCCTGTCCTCATGCGCATGCTCATGCTCGTGCTTGCCTCCCCATGCTTACTTACACAACCCCCACCGACCTGCGCAAACATGCCCGGCACCTCGCCGCTGTTGAGCATGTTGTTGATGTCCTCCAGGAAGCCCTCCTGCACGATCTGGGTATCGCTGAACAGGAACACCACCGGTTCGCCATCGATGCCTACGTGGCAAACAGCCGGACAATGAAGCGGGCTCAGCATGCGATTGTCGCGCACCTAGGTGTGCAAGCAAGGAAACATGCCGTCAGGCGGGCAGGAAACCCCGTAGCTCGGCATCCATGCTGGGAGAGACCAGTGGGGACAACAAAACGGCGTGTGCTGATGTCCAATACACGAGACCAACTCCCCATACCTGCGGTGCGGTAAAGCTTCTTGAGGTCCTCGCGGAATTCGTTGGCTCCGTAGCCGCGTGTGAGCTCGATGGAGAAGCTCTTGAAGCCGCCCATGAAGGTGGCGAAGCGAGTGAGGGAGCTCTTGCCGGAGCCACCCACACCCACCAGCATAGCGTTGCCGCGAGGCTGGCGTAGAATGCGCGCGATGCGGGTGATATGCTCCACCGCATCCATAAAGAACACTGCGTGACGCAACGCAGGACGGAGAAGAACCGGTGAGTGTGTGTGCGTATGCTTTTGTGTGCGTGTGCTAGGAAGGAGGAAACATTGCTCATGTTCCATCCGCTCATTGAAGGGGGTTTGGATGAGATGGGCGCATCGGTGTGAAAAGCAAGGCAAACCTTTGTGCAGGGTGGGAAATTTCAATGGGGAAGAGGTGGATGCAACAGGAGGCAAGCGGCCCGTGAGACGTAAGAAGATTGAGGGCAAGCGCAGGACGCTCATGGGGGCCGGGCTCGCGGGGCAAGCCTGGGGAGCAAGCCTGGGTCGTAAAGACGTGACCGGATCGTGCAATGCCCCTGGAGTGTCTACTCCGGAGTCTAAACCTTTGGGGGCTTCCTGCCGTGGATGCCCATCGCCGAACAGGCAGGCAGGCAGCTCACGACGTGTGTACGACGTGAAACTGATAAGTGCCAGCTGCAGGCCCCGATAAAGCCTTCCAGCCAGCAGCTCAGCAAGCCAGCCTAGAGCACATTCAACGCCCCGCACATAGCCAGCCCAGCAAGCCCACCCAGCAAGCCCAAAGCACACCCGCTCACCCAAATTGAGTGAATTGGTATTGGATAGGTTGTACTCATCCAAGTATTCCTCCAGCACAGCCACAACACGAGACACATCGGTGCCAATCTCTTCGTACCGCCGCTCGTCGCGGTCCAGGCCAATCTGGTGAGAAGGGAGGGCCCAAGACGGGGATTGAAGGAAATCAGGAAAACAAGAGAACTACCTCGGCGGCGGGGATGTGCACCAGTACTAGAGGCCCCGACACAACTGCATCGGGTCTGGGCCTTGCGGGAGCCGCACCCGGGTCTCGCCAGCCACGGGACCTTTCCCTCGCCACGCGCCTTCACCCGCGGTCCATGGCCTCACCTTTATCCAGTCGCCGAACATGATGTAGCGGCCCGGACCGAACAGCTCGTCGTAACCAGCTGACCCTAGGCCGTGCTTGGTGGCCAACTCGACAAGCATCCGCTTGAAGTACTCCTTGTCCTCGTTGTTGATCAGGCTGCAAAGGAAAAACGGTACCACGTTGAGGAGGGGAAGAGGAGATAGGGTGCGATAGGAGGGCAGAGCACGCTGGGGAAGATGCTTGCGTGCACGGGCGGACGGAGTTCTCTCCCGCAAGGTTGGTGCGGAGCATTTGAACGGATCAGAAGATTAGGCCTCCCAGTTATGCAAAGTGCGGCGTTAGCGGAGCGCAGCACAAGTGCAATTAAGAGACGAGGCGCCGCATCCGCACACAGGCCCCTGGCCTCCGGTCTTGGTCCTAGGCCCCAGGCGTCCGCTTCTCCTGGGTCCCTTCCTGGTACCTGGTTACTGTGCTGCGCTGCCGCGCTCCTGGACGCAAGACACACACCACGCGCCACATCGCTCATGTCTTACCGGTCATGGAACACGCGGCAGGACTCGTGCAACCACAAGCGCATCATGGTGTCGCGGTCCTTGCAATTGCCGGGCGTGATCATGAGCAGACCCTGGAACACCTTGGACAGGTCGCGCAGGTTGAATGTGTAGTGGCTCTTGGCGGGTGTGGGCAGCAGCTCTTCAGAAATCCTGTGCCGGGGGCCGAATGCAACATTTTACCTGAGATGAAGCAATCATAGACAGAGAAGCAGCAGTCTCTGTCCAGCGAGCTGGTGTGGGACTCTAGAGCAGCTGGGCGCTTGGCAAAGGGAAAGAAGAGGCAGCCTTCTGCTTCTTCGATTCCCTTCACCGCCAGAACCCGTTCACTGCGGCACCACATCTTTCGCCCGTGGCATTATGCTTTTTCATTCGAAACTGTCAATCATTCTCAACAAAAGCACAGCTGTAAGTGACAGTTGCGGCAGCAGCACCAAGCTGATTCCATGTAAACATACCTATCGTAAGCCTCCACCGAGCAGTTGACAATAGGCACAGCCACGCTGGCCATATCGCGTGGGAAATCCGACAGGAAGCCGTTGAAAATGGCCGATAGGATGGTCTTGGTAGCAGCGTCCGAGGGAGGCGGCACGCACAACATAGTGAAATGCCGCACGAAGCGCGGTGTAATCTCCTGTCGGCCACCGCCCGGTGGCGCACACGCAGCGCACAGCGTTGTGTCCTCCACGTCTTTCCAGAACAGCTTCTTGCGGTCGTAAAAGCCCCTAAACGACACAGAAACAATGTGAGCGGCATTGACGGCGTAAGGTATATTGCACGGGGAGGTAGGGAAGAGGACAGCCAGGACGCGAGATGCGTGGAGCCGGGAAGCATGGCAGACATCGCAAGTACAAGGCAAAAACCACATTTGTCTGTTGAGCCCTTACTTGAAGTCCTGGAACTGCCGCAGGAGCTCAATGGGCGGCTGCGCGCCGTATTTCTCCCGCGCAGGCATGTTGACATCATCCACGAAGAAGACGATCCGCTTGTTAACGGGTGCGCCGTACCGCGTTTTGCGCTTTTTCTCTAACTTGCTCTCAATCAGTAGCTGGAATACGCACCGCCGGCGGGGAGCAGGAGACCACAAGTGGGGACAACCTCAGGCCACGAGCAAAATTAGAACATGCCGGACAGCCGGCGGACGAACAGAAATAAAGCCGGCAGGCAGTCAGGCATACATGCGCCAAATTGAGTATGAAAACATGGTAACGTGGAAGGCAAGCCGGGAACTCCCTACAGTCTACCTGCGTGTCAATCGCCTGTGTTTGCGCAGAGAAGTTGATCGTGAACGGCACTACATTCTTGCGCTCGCGGATGTCCTCCAGGGCCGCAACTGTGATGACGCTCTTGCCCACACCCGTGACACCTGGTGGACGAAAGGTTACGAAACAGGCGAGTCCGAACAGCAGCAGCGAGAGCACCCGGGATAACAGGTGAGTCGGATGAGGAAATAGGGAGGATTGTGGTATTGCGCGTACAGTGCGTGGGGATAACGGAATGGGTTTTAGGAATAACTTTACAGGTCGAATGTGCAAGGAACAAGCACAGATTAGCGTAAGATTGGCATCGCCCCGCATCTTGGCCTTGGTCCAATGCTTCTTCCTTTTTTGACTCTCCAGGTCTGGTCTGTTTATTATTTCTACCCCCAGTGGATTTACCTGTGAACAGCACAGACCGTTGAACGTCCAGGCAGGCGTCCAGCAGGTAGGAGAAGCGCACCGTGTCCACGGTGGGCACCATCATTTGGAAGTACGGCAGCTCGCGCTTGTACGTGAAGCTGGGCACAATGTCCGTCCAATTCTTGAACTCGGGCGGGAAGCGCTGGGGGTTGCGGGGAAAAAAGCGCGTGCGGCATGGGAGAGATGTCCGGCAAGAAGAGGTTAGGAAAGTGCAGAGAAGTAGCATGGATGTAAGAGATTTATTGGAAGGGATGGAATGTGCTGCCAGCGTGCCAGGCCGGAAAGTCGCAGGTCAGCCGAAGGGCATAGCTCTTGAGATGACGGCAAGCCGCATTCACGTGATACCGGCACGCAGGGAGGAATAGGTGGGCAAAGGTGGGAGGGACGCACGGCACACAGGATGATGCCTGGTAAATCGCACTGCGCGCGTGCTGAAATCCCAGATACATTGGCGGGGAGAGATCTCAGCTTTAGCCTTCCAGATGCCGGCGCCAGCACCTTACCTTGTTGCAGTCCAAGTAGAAATCGAACACAGTGGCCGAGCCGGGAAAGGCGCACACCATTTGCAGATGCTCACGCACGAACCTGCGGGTTGTGGGATGGGACCATGATAGGGCAGCGGGGACGGGGCCAGTCAATGCGGGCGATATTCGCATGCGTAAACAGATCTTCGGATCGTCATGACCATTCACACCTGGCCATTCCGATCAGCCCCGTGCTCCCGCACGGCGAGGTACCCAGTCGCACCCGTTCCGCATATGCACATGGACGGGTTCTTCGGCCCGCCCTTAATAACATGTCGCGCCCATCTATAACCCATGGCATACGCTTAGACAAGCATGACCTAAAGACCCGCGCGCGGGTGACGCTGCTTCCATGCAGACCTGCGCTCGACCACGCGTTTCGCAAGGTGCACGGACCCAGAACTCACTCGTCGAACTCCTCCTTGACGGTGTGCATCAGGTTACCACCCAGCGCCCAGACATAGCAAAAGCCAAACAGCTTGCTGAGCGCCATGGTGATCTCCTCGGGCTTGGCGCCCCATTGGAAGCCACGCGATGGCGAAACCAGGCTCTGCACGCAGGCCGAGAGGAGCAGACGTTGGATGGGCAGGCATTCACGGGCAGGCGCTCAGATAAATCGTTGGTTGATCCGTACACACACACAGTGTGGGTCCCTAAACAACTACGAAGCATAAGCATCAACCACCGCAGTTTTACGTTAACAACTTAGCCAATAATGTGTTCCAAAACTGTTTTTCTATTTAAAACAACAATTAGCAACTGTTAGCAGCACGGCAATCCTGACCCACATAGCGCCAAACCCGCTTGCATTCAACACGCCCGGGCCCCCCTCCCGTTTGCTGCTCTGTTAAGCTAAAGCCCTAGCAGTGTCCGCCCTGGCCGTGCCCGCATCCCGCGCGAGTGCCTTGCCTGCAGCAGCATCGCCAGCGAGGTGGTCAGGTTGTTATCCACACTGGCGATGTACTCCTTGCCCTGCTTGCGCACGAACGCTAGCCCCGCATCCACATACTGGTCGAACATGGTGTAGATGGCCTCCGCATACTCGGGCTTTATCTGCAGGCCACAGGCAGGCGGCGCCATCAGGCGGCCATAGACGCAGCACGGACGGGGAGGCTATTAATGCAGGACCGCCAAGCGTGACCCGCTGCGGGGGATCACATAAACGTGCACGTCGGGTATCGCGCAAGCTATGGCTGACCTTTCATCATGGGGTCCCTAAAAGCACAAGCACGGTACAAGGCGGGCCAAAGCATGGCCGCCGCAGGCGCAGATGCGGCCACGCAGCGCACCTGCGGTATGGCCGCTGGCAGCTTCTGTCGCGCCCACGTCTGGACGGCGGGACGCCAGCCAAGCTCTTCCAGCGCTATGTACACCATGCCGCAGCGGGATACGGTAGCAGGCGACGCCACTGCCAGGTCCTGCACCTCGAACAGCATCCGCATGGTGACGGGATTGAGCTTGATGCGCTCGCCGTTGGGGAGGCACAGCGTGCAGTTGTCGTCTAGGACCGTGTTCATGTTCTCGATCCAAATGGCGTCCACGGGGCCATCGAACACGACCCACTTGCGGTCAGGCGTGGTATCGTTAACGGCAGAGCGGATGAGCGTGGAGCCCAATCCGTCAGACCATTCGTTGGTCAACAGGTTGTACTCGCCGTACAGCTCGCCCATCTTGATGCACTTAGGGTTGAACGTATACGTGTGCGTCACCTGCCGGGAAAGATGACCGAAAGGAGGGGGTTAGGGAGCGGGCGTCGAGCACGGCAAGAACGCAAGGGTGCGGGAAGGGGCGCGGCAGATGAGGAGAAATAAGAGGATGCCGAAAGAGACGAGGTCCATGGTGCGCCAGTGCCACGCTCAACCCCCTTCTCGGCGCAATGTATCCTGCTGTAACCCCTTGCCCCAATGCCACGTCCAAGCCTCCAGCGTCATACCATCACCGTGCAGTCACCGCCGGTCCCCACTATGCAGCGGGCGTCTGTAAGCCGCACCTGGTACTTATCCGACGGATGCTTGAGCTCGGTGCGCAGACGCGTGGTGGCGCCCTGCAAGGTGCGGTAGCACTCTGTCTTTCCACCACCAGTGGGTCCCACCAGCATGACGCCGAAGCGCACGTTCATGGTGTCGTACAGCTGGATGACCTTGGTCACAAACGACTGGGGCTGTTGCAGGCCACGCGACGACAGCACGGCACGAATGCTCTGCTCCAGCTCGCCGAAGTCCTGTGTGCAGCGGTAAGCATGGACAGGTGGCCAAGTGGGGACGTGTGGGGGCGGCAAGCACGATGAGCGGCAGCATCGTTTTATGGGTCCGAGACTGAGTGGAACGGCGTGGCCCTGGACCCCTGCATGGCACGGCCAACCCCTCATTCACACAACCCATCTTTCCCGCATGCTGAGTACAAACATCTCCCCAACTTACCCACCCAACCATGGGCACCCATGCACTGCGCTGACGTACCTGGTCTGGCACTGTGAGGCCCGGGAACAAGTCAGAGATAATATTCTGGAACAGCTCCACATCATCCACCAGGAACTTGGGGAGGTTTGAGTCACGCATCGCACGGATGAGCACGACGTCCTCAGACAAGTCAGGATTGGCGCGCTTGAGGCTGCCCGCCATCACCAGCACCGACTTCACAGCACGCATGCCTGTGGGTCGCGATGGGATATGGTGGGGAAAGGTGGGGGAATGTAGGCAAGGTAAAGCAATAATCGACTAAGACTCAGCGCCTCAAGGTAGGGAAGGTAGGAGAAGGTAGGTGTTAGGGTGAGGGGTGATGACGGTTGAAGGACAGGACCAGCGCATATAGGCCCCGACTGGAGCCCCAACCCTTCCCTTCTACCGCTTCCAGTTTCCTAATCTCTTTAATCATTTCCCTTGCTGGTGTAACACTCACCAAAATCATAGTGGTCCTGCTGGCTGAGCTGCTCAGAGGACAGCTTGTACAGCTTAACCATCTTGCGGGAGAGGGTCTTAGAGTCCTCGAAGCCCTCGCTGAACAACATCACCTCAGCCACCAGCGCATAGTCCGGGATCATCATCGCCATGGGCCGGAAAAGCGCCTGCGCACACAGCAGCCACCAAGCGAGTGAGAGGGAAAGTGGTGGCCAGCGTTTGCAGCAACAGCTGAAGCCAGCCAAAAGCGGCTTGCGGAAGGGAATGAGACCAGAAGGGAGAGCGCGATTGCGGCCGTGAAAGGGAAATCAGTGAAATTGCGCACTTGCGCAAATGTAAGCTTGAGGGCGTGTCAGGTGTGCCAAGTTTCAACGGATAAAACCAAGAGGGACAGCTCTTGAGGCTGGCTCCGCCCGGCGCGCACGTTGGATGTGACGCGGCTAGAAGTTCTGCAGCTGGGCGGTGCACAGCGCACATGGCGGCGTGGTGATGCTGAGTTAGAATACGCGCATGTGTGTGCATGTGTGTGCTCTACAGTGTGCGCTACAGGGAAGGAAACGAAAGAGGTAGGAGGATCGCAAACGACAGAGAGCACAGCCCACCTTGAGGTTGTCAGGCAGCTCGGTGCGGCCTGCGTAACCGGGGTTCATGGTGATGAAGACGCCGCAGGTGGGCACCAGCTTGATGACGCGGCCCTCGAAGTTAAAGGTGCTCATGCTGGCCTTGAGTGCGTTTTGGATCGTCAGCAGCTGCACGGCAGGGCGCCGGGGTCAAGGAGGGCGGCGTGGCCGGAAAGTCAATGTAGGCCTGGGTGACGCGAAAGTTATTTACTCGACAGCAGCTAAAGCACGACAGCTACCAGCACATTTCGCACATGGCAGAAGTGGCGATGGATATCATCAACGCAGCAGGCAGCGAGCTGACTGTATTCACGTTTGGGAGCAACAGAGACAGTCTCTGCTGCAGCGGAAGCGCGGAGAGATCTCATTGCCGTAGCACAGGAAAGCGCACGCAGATACGACCATGGCGCTGGCGTCGAGGGCGTCAGACCGGGCGCGGTTGTGCGCCTCCTTCTCCCAGCTTATTACCCTGGCCCACCTGCTGCGCCACCACGGATAGCACTTCGATGTCGATGCGGTTGAACTCGTCGAAGCACGCCCACGCGCCACATTGCGCCAGGCCACTGAAGAACTTGCCCATGAACCTGGCAGGGGAATAACGGAGGGAGAAGTTAGAAGAAGCTGGACGCCCCTGGACGGGAAAATACCGTGAGTAGAGGTGAGGTGAGGTGAGGCGCAAAAAAATACATGCGATGGAAACGGACCATAATGGTCGGACAGCATAGCTCCATTCCTGGTCCGCTTAGGGTGCAAGCAGCTGCAAGGACACCTCGTCTGCGGCAACCTTAGCTTCGACCCAAACCCTAAACCGTGGTCCCTTCCGTTTCGGGCTTAGCGCATAGCCCTTTGCACCGGTCTGCACATTTGCCACCGCCGTCAAGCATTTATCATTTCCTCTGCCTCCCTCCGCACAGACCCGTCGCCGCGGCCCTGGAAGCTGCTTACTTGTAGTCGAGGTTGTCTCCGCAGTTGAACACCACGCAATTGACGCCCAACGCCTTGCCCAAATCCTTAGTAGTCTCCGTCTTGCCCGTGCCTGAGCCAAGGCGGAAATGTGTCAGTTGAGCAGAGAGACAGCTTGGGCAGAGTGCAGCGGTGTAACGATCCCAAGTCGTTTGGATAAGACGCACATGACAAGATGGAAGAATGTCTTGGTGTGCGATGTCCTCGCCTACGCACGAGACACTGTTGGGGGCCTCTTTTTCTGCATTTTGCGCAATTTTGAGCTACCTTAAGGCATACCACGGATATCGCCCTGTCCCTGAGGCACTGGAGTCCCAAATGCTCATGCCTGGTCGGACCAGGTCAGCTGCCCCGTCCGTCCTGTCCTGTCGCATTCCTACCTGCGGGTCCCGCAGGCGCGCCGCCCAGCTTGAGGTGCAGTGCGCCTGTGAGCGTCAGGTAGCAGCGATCCGTCATGGGCGTCACCACCAGGCGCGGCTGCGCGCCCAGGTACTCGTATGCGTACACGAAGCGCGCATTGACCTGGCGCACAATTATGTCTTCGTTCTCAAAATAGTATCGCAGCTGCATTTGCCACTGGAAGCTGTTGATGTCTGTCACACGGCCTGAATGTAGCGCGTCCACGATGTCGCGCGCGTGAACGTCGATGGTGATGAGCGCGGCAATGATGCGACGGTGCAGTGATGACAGCTCGCCGCGTACCAGCTTGGTCAGGTCGGCCAGCTGCCGCACGTTGACCTGGCGGAGGGATTGGGGGACAATAAACGATGTCATGTTTAGTGGTCCGTGAAGTGAGAGGGAAGGGAACTGCGACCCCGGCAAAAGACCCAAACGCGAATGGCTCAGGGAAGTGAAGGTGGGAGTTGCCAGGAGTGATATGCAAGGAAAAAGAGGCCATGGAGAGCGAACAAAGAGGAGGAATGTTCTCCCACACCGTGCTATACAGATTCAAATCCACGACCTCCCCCAACAGCCCAGGATCGCTTAGATGCAATAGTCCTGCACAACTGATCTGGCTACGCACCCCGGGGCTGACATTAATCGTCCCCCTTACCGCTCTGTAATCCCCCATCGCGCCGACGGGGTCCACGCTGCGCAGCGCCTCCTCCACACCATGGCACCAAAACACCTGGCTGATAGCAATGACAAGCTGCGCCGGCTGCTTGAGCACCCATGCGGAACGCGCCTCTTCCGGGTAAGCCACCCAACCGGCCTTGGCCAGCTTCTTCAGGTTGGCTGCATGATTAATTGGGGAAAATGTGGTGGGATGTTACACCGGGTAAAGGCTATGGATGTGCGCAAAACATGCCAAGAGCAGACCAAGATGAAGCCTACCGTACCAGCTACCCAAGGCAGCATGCATGAGTGCAACACAGGTACACACGCTAGGCCTGGACCGACCCCCTCTCACGGCGCCATCTTCATTCGTGCCGCAACCTTTACCGCCAGGCACCCAGAGACGCGACTCACCAATCATGGCGCTCTCCACGTCGCCCAGCCACTTCTCCACATTGCCACGCGCCTTTGTGTTCTTTCCCAGGCTGACGCGCTCGCCCTCGCCTGAGATCATGGCATGGATGTCGATAGATTTGGGGTCGTCGCCAAAGTCCAGCCGACGGATGCCGTCGAAGCACTTGCCCATGTGCGGCTGCACAGCCTGCGGACGGAGGGAAAGAAACAGCACGCAAAACAAAACAGCTGATGACCCCGCAAAAAGGGAGAAGGTGACTGCCGTAGCTTTGGCCAGACGCCCACGGACGTGATTGCTCTGCTATGTCGTCGTCTGGTCTCCGGAACGCCTACTGGTGAAAGATACCCGGTCCTTTGCTCTTAAATCCCTATCCCACCAGGACTCACCTGCACGTTCTTGGTCTGCGCCAGGATCTCCAGCAGCTCGTCGTTGGACAGGAAGTAGAAGCGCGGGAAAGCCATGCGCTTGGTCTCCAGGTAGTCCTCCAGGTTCTTTTGAATTTTCTCCAGCGTCTCGTTGGCCTTCTGGAACGTCTCCAGCACGCCTGCACCGCGAGGAAGCAAAAAGTGGAGGTACCGGGGGCAGGCAGGGCGGCCGAGTGAGCATGAGCAAGATGTGAAGAGCAGGAATGTTGCAGGGGTGCAGTCACCGCCCGGGAGTTTACTGTCACCACCTCTCACTTCGTGGTAAAACTGCTTCACCAAGAACACGCGCTGCTTGTTCGGTGCGCAACTAGCAAGAGCCACGAAATTTCCACACTGCACGCCGTCTGCAAAGTTTATATCGTTGATAGCTCGGGCCCTGGTATCTTAGCTAGGGACGGCCTCAATTTGTTACACAAGGGCACACTCTATAGACGAAAAATGATTTTACAGACGATACCGCAAACGTGCCACAAACAAACTAACCGGGGTGCGTGCCCGCCATGAGCGCATTTGGCCTGTCCTTGGTCCGCCGCATGATCTCCCGCAGCTGCTTGTCCACCGCGAAAAACGCCTTTGCCTCCACTGGTAGCTGGCGCTGGATGTCGATAGCGGAGAAAATGGGCTCGAGGTACATCCACGCCTTCTGCACCGAGATCCACTCGTCCAGCGTGTCTGCAAAGAGCGTCAGCTGGCGTTCCACCTTCTCCACCTCCGGCCGAATGCCGGTCACGAAGCGGCTGGCCAGGATGGTGGACATGGTCACCATACTGTCTTCCAAGGCAATCTACGTCGGGAAAGGAGGACAGGGAAGTGAAGTAAGGTTAAGTCAAGATTAAGTCAAGATCCGAAAACGACTAAGCCGTAAGCCTAATCACAATTTCAGTGCGTGCGCTTGTGGAAAACCTACGACTTGGAACCCCAACCCCGACCGACAAAGAGGCGCCCCCTTGCTATATGCCAATCCCTCGCTCCCCGCGCCGCCGAGCCGCCTTGACGGCCTCCCTCACGCGCACGGACCTGGATGTCCTCGATGCCGCCCAGAATGAACACATCCTTGCTTTCCTTGTACGGCACCACGTTGAACTCCAAATCCACCCACTTGTTTTGCACCTGTGGGTGGAGATGGAGCAGGGTGGAAGCCCGAAAGCTGATTCAATATGTTCCTATCATTCGCAAGGATACGTTATGTGGTAGTGGTGGCGGCGAAGGGTGCCTGCTACATGGTAACTAAGCACGTTAGACACTGATAAGGACGAATCCCATTTTGCTCCCATTTTCGCTCCCATGGTGGCTCCCATTTTTGCTCCAGCTGTAACGAGCAAAAATATGAGAAGGCCAAGGAGATATCGACACCTTAAACGGCATCCAACCATGCGGCCCCTCTCAGCATGGATTCGATACCTTTCACCACTCTCTTGGATAATTCCTGCCTCCATGAGGCAGGCAAGCCACTCAGAAGGTTGACGCTGGATGACCAACTGGCCATTGGAAACCCGCCCCATCGCTACCCTCCATCCTTTCTAACTCGCACCTTTGCCAGCAGCTCCTCCAAGGCCATCTCCTGCGTGGCCTCCGTGGAGATGGTGGAGATGGAGTCCTTCCATACCTGCACCTTTGCATCGAGCAGAACCTGCAAACCAGATGAAGCAACACGGACAACATCAGCACGACGTGCACGGGGCCGCCATTGCCCAATCGGGACAGCTAAAAGGAGGCGCAGCGGTGCGAGACGGCAGACGATGCCACTCCAAAGCGCCGCAAGCGCCATCATAAGTTGCCGCGTTGAGATGAGGCTATTAACCATATACCAATCGGCCGGACATGCCTTTGGTTAGCCAAATGGACCCCGGGAGAGCGGGCCGGCGGAGCTTACTCCTCTACCGTCCTGCTGCTATGGCTAGGGCAAACCAGTACCGTCCATCCCACCTGTAGCGTGAAGCTGTTGTCGCGCACAATCTGCTGTCCGATGGTTTCGAAGATCTTGTTCCAATGGCGCTCCTTGAGGGCGCGGTTGCGCAGTGCGGAGACGACGGGCAGCAAGTTCCGGAAGTCGTCCACGGCGGCGCGGAACTTGGGCACCAGCTTGTTGGGTGGCAGCCCACGCTCCATCTTGTACACCTGCAACATTAGTTACAGCGCAGAGCAGGTAGGGGGGACTCGATTGCGTACGCTCTTGCATCGTAAGCACAGCCAGGCTGCAAAGCTCGTAAGGGCCGATCTGAAAGCCCTGAGGGCAACCCTCACCATCTTGTGGAACTTGTTGGTGGTCTCCTCGAGCACCTGCATGTCCAGCGACTCGAAATGCGTAGCGCACCAGATGTCGGTGATGGACTCCCACTCGGAGCGGCCCAGCCAAAGGTTGAGCTTGAGGTTGACCTCGTCGGCGGTGTCCGTGAGGTCCTCTGACTTTGCCTCCGGAACCTGCAACAAGGGCCAAGGCGAAGTCCAGGGCGTTAGACAACGTTAGAAAACCAAGTGGTCGGTGTTCGGCAGAGGAAGGGCAGGCCCCCCAGCAAGCTGCTAAAGCACAGCCGGAAAGGGGGCACAGAGACCGAACCTGAACCAGCAGCACGGTAGCACGCAGGGCACAAGTCCTATAACATCCTTTCTAGCAGGCCGACGGGCGATTCGTACCTTGAACAGCCGCTGGTACTTGTTGATACGCGCCGACTCGGCCTGTGAGCGCAGGAGTGGACAGGGGTCACAGGTATCAGTGCGCAAGACTGAACACAAGGCGAAATGATGACGCCAACAACCGCGCTCTCCCGAAGTCCAACCAATAGTACCCACATTCTCCAGATCTCCACGCTCCACGCAGCAAATAGGGCTGCCACGAACAACCGGACGGTTACCTTGCTAGGACCCAGCATAGTTGCGGCTAACCACCCTCGCCATGGCCTTTCCCCGCTGCGCCTGCCCTCACCATGAGCCTGTCCACTGCTTCCTTGAGCTGGTTCAGATACGCCACCACCTTGTCGTGCTCGCTTTCCTCGCTGAGTACCATCTCGTGCTGCGCCTCGTTGCGGATCTCTGTGACCTCCTTGCTGATGGCCTCGATGCCTGCGGCAGAATGGCAGCACCACGGTGTAAGGATGATGAAGGTGACAGCAATAATTGGGCTGTAATTAGGAATCCATGGGATACCGCCGCGTCAGAGCGCATAGCCTGAAGTTTAGCTGCACCAGGCGGCAGACGTGTGGAGACGTGTGGAGACCTTTGAGCAGTTCCAGGAGGCCATAAGGACGCGAAAGCCAAAACGAATGCAGGGCTGAGCGAGCTACCTCGCCTCGGCGCTTTTCCGTTCCTACGAGCAGATGGCTAAATGTTCCGTTCACCCATTTAGACTGCCGACACTCCCGTGGGAGGCATGCTGCTTCGTCGACGTGGGAAACGCCCAAGGTTGCTTACCCTGCTCCAGGTTGGCGCTGTACTTGGACACGTGGTCGTCCCGCGCGCCCTCCACCTCCTCCATCGTCGTCTTGAGCGTGTTGTAGGTGCTGTCCATGGTGGCATATGCGGCGCGGTCCATGGGCGACACCGGGATGTTGTACTCGTCAATGAGGCCATACAGGTCATGGATCTCGTTGCACGCAAAGTCGAGCCGCTTCTCCGACTCCCGGACCTCCCCAAGGAACTGCAGCTTTTCCACATATTCCTCCACAGCGCTGCTGGGGGCCTGTACAGTTGGCGGGGGATCAGGACAGTGGATTCAGACGTCAGTAAATTTGAAAAACTTGGAACATGCATCATTCTTTAATTGACACAAACAGGTGTTTATGAGGCGGATGATTGCGGATGGCTGCGCTGAACCACAGCCTGGGATATGAGCAGCTTCTGCAACGTTACTGAAAACCGGAAAGGGAGCGTTCGCTGGGAGAGTGTGCACTGCGTGATCTCTTGTTGTGAGGTTCCGGGCATCCGTATACTGGTATACGTATCCTTGCAGACTCGCACCGTGCCGCCAGAGGGCCGTCCCTCTCCTGTGAGTATCAGCTGGTGGTCGTGTGCATTGAACGATCCGGGGCCAGGCCATCTGACCAGATGACCTCTACAATCCATCATACATGCGACGCATGCACGCACATACACACACGCGCGGAAACCGTGCACGCCGTCGTACCACCCTCCCTCGAGCAAGGCCCCCGCCTGACCTGCAACCTGCTGAGCGCGTTCTGCACCGTGCTCATGAAGTCGTGGAACAGATCCGCCGCCAGTGCCGGGAGCATTGCGTGCATCTCCTCCAGGCAGCGCGTGGGGCTGGGGATGACCGCATCCTTGAAGTGTCCCACTGCAATACGCACGATGGACACATCGCGGTGCGGCAGAAGCGCCTCCATCTGCGCCTTCTGCTCCGCCAGCAGGTCCATCAGCTGCCGGAAGGTCGCCAGCGTGACGCGCTGCTGCTGTGGCGATGGCGAGGACGACGCCTCGCCGTCGACAGCCTCCTGCGTACCGTCGGCCTGCTGCTGTGGTTGTTGTTGCTGGTTGGCTGCAGGTTACGATACAAACATCCATGTTGCAAGTTACCAAACCGCCAACACCCCAGGCAAGGCAGGTTATTGCCAGGGGGCATAACGACATTGAACATAAACCGTACAACAGGAATCTATGCACGGGAAAGCTGACATGATGGCATCCTGTTTTATATGCCTGGAATGGACACTGCCGTGTATTAGGTAGCAAAAGCCCTGAAGGCTCTGGTGCACTAATCAGCACGCGATTCCCGCGGGCAAGGCGCCTGCCGTTGCCGTACGGGTCGGCGAGGGCGGCTATTGCCTGCGGCATGCGACGCGAATGTCTTGCAGGCGTGTGATAGGTTCGGAATGCTTGGCCGCTGTGGGTTGAGTTGGGCTTTGAAGTGGAATGCGGCTTCTCAATCTGTTGGTGCTAGCGGTTCCACGCCCATGCCTAGGACTGGACAAGCCAGGCTTGCACGCAGATGCGGTGTTGAAAACATCGGAGTCCGAAACTGGCTATTGCTGCACGGACACCCATGGCATCGTCCACGGTATTAGGGAGCAATGTTGAGTAGACCCAGGAACACCTGGGAACACCTGCACATTAGTCCAGGCGTCGAAGCCCTTCAAATGGGGCTGTTAAGCATAATAACGCACCGTCCGTGGTGCTGTCCTCGGTTGGCAGCACGTCGCCCTTGGCCTTGAACATCGGCGCGAGGCCGGGAATGTCCAGCGTGTTGTGGAACAGCACCATGTCGCGGTAGGGCAGGTAGCACTGCTTGTGGTCCTCGGCATGCTGGAACGCTTCCACCACGCTGTCGCGGACTGATACCACCTGCGAAAGGGCGATGCAGCGCCGATGGACTAAGGTTCGTAGTGAGACGCATGCAGGTAATCATGAAAGACGAATGGCACGATACTGCATAGTGCAATAGCTGGGAGGCAATTCGCGACTAGGACAGGACAGGAGACCTGAGAGGCATTGAGAACATGAGGATCCGCCACGTGGATGTTTATTTCTTGCAGTGCACAAAACACAACTCCGAAACCAAGCCCTCCCCACCATGTCGTCGTAGTTTTCGTTGGTGATGAGCTCCTGCAGCTCCGTGCCCGGTTCCACCTCGCCCGCCTTGTCGCCCATGACCACCGACATGAGCGTGCCGTCGCCGTACAGCCGCGTGATGCCGCACAAACTCTCCAGATAGTTTGCCATGATGCGCTGCATCTCCTCGAAAAACTCCTCTGGGTGGGGGTCATACAGCAAGTCCTCCTGATTTTCCGCCAACAGCAGCTCCAGCTGGAACAGCGCATCAGTTGCGGCGGGTGCTGCTGCTGCGATGACGCTGTCCTTGCTGCCTCCAGCACCGCCGTCAGTAGTAGTGCCACCGGCGCCGGCACTGAGGCTGCCAGGGGCGGCGGCGCCGTCCTTGCTACTCTTGCGTTCCGCGTCGGCTGCGGCCACGGCTGCCTCCGCTGCGTCCGCTGCCGCCGCGTCCATGTCCTGGAACAGCACCATGACGGGTCGTTTAGGGCGCGTGCTATCCAGCAACTCCCGTAGGGACTCTAGCAACACGCTGTGCAGCGTGTCGCAGACCATATAGTCGGCTAGACGAATGAAGTTGAGCAAGCGGCGCTGTTCGGAGCGGCGCGCCGCGGCAATGGTGTAGGCAAAGTCGGATTGGCCCTGCTCGCGGTCCTTCTCCGCCTCGGCGCGCGCCAAGAAGTTGCTATGCTGCGATTTTGCCAATTCTCCAGCGCGCTGCGACTCGTTTTCATCGTGCTTCTTGTTGAACTCGGCCAGCCGTTCTTCTAGCTTGTCGAGGTCATCCCTAGAGAGGGACGAGTTTAAAGGGCGTTCAGAAGAATGGCTGTAAAGAGGGGAATACTGGGCGATGGAACGATTGAGCTGAGGAGGTACGACTAAGAAAGACGATGGAAGTAGCGCCAAGCTGCATCAACCCCTCGAGATTTACCTGCACGCCTGCAGAACGGTCTGGAAGGTGTCTTCGTGGAATTGCCCAAGGCGGACCTCCACTGCTGCCTTGTGGTCACTTTGCGCCCCTACAAACTCGTCCAGCGTGTAGACCTGCAGGTAGCGAGTGCAGATGATGTAATTATGTCCGACCGATTGTAGGAGGTTCGGGCAAAACCACTTTGGCTATAGGATTCGAGGCGCAAGGCAAAGCCCAAGGGCAGCATAAGTTTTTCACCGTCCGTGAGCCGCGTCAGCGGGCCAAGCAAACAAGTACAATAGACCCATGCCCGCGATGACATCCACCCAAGCTGTTGTGCCAGCCCAACATCCCGACATGATTTTCAAGGCCCTCGTGCATGAGCGCGAAGGAACTGATTCTCAGTAAACTCAACGCCGCCTTAGCAACACAGAATACCCGTTGTTTTCGTGAACAATGCCATCCACGGTCAAACCCAAAACGCACCTTCACGGGTTCCACGTTGTGCATTCGCATGTGGCTGAGCTCGAAACACAGCCCGTGGAAGCGGCGCAGCGGCCCCTGGAATACGGGAGACAGCTGGAATAGGTTACGCTCCAGGGCTGCACGTGCTTTATGAAATTTGTGCTGGTTGACCGCTCGCTTCCACAGCCGGAAGGCCCGCCATAGCTTGTACAACCGGAAGATCTTCAGGTGCTTCAGCCGCGAGAAAAGGTGCAGTTCGCGCTCCCATTGCTCCAGGGCTGCAAGGACAGCCAGTGGGCCGGACAGGAGCAGCACCACAAGCATTGCTCGATGCGCGGAGCATGCAAGGGTGCCTGGGAAATAGCCGTTGGTAACAAGACATTCAGACTGCGGCAAAGACGCACTCCTTCCTGCTTGGACGACATACACATCCCATACCCAAGCTAGGTGCCATACACGTGAAGCCCTGTCGTGGCTCGTCCCTAGTCCCGTCACTGCACATCCGTATGTGGTGACCCGCTGGCCATGCTGACTGCTGCTGGCGACTGCGAACCTGGCACAGGCCGGACCGCTGGGCCGGGCATGGCTGTTGCTCCGGCAGCTTTTGCGCTAACGGACAAGCCAACGTCAACCGGCATAAGGGGGCTCAGCAATCGTTGCCTGCTTACTTGCGAAGTCGGAGGAAGTCCCGTCAAGGTAGTGCGTGATGCCACGAACTGACATGGTGTAGAAGTCACGCTGGTCGATAGCCGCGAACGGCACCACCTTGGGAGCAGGGTAGGGACAACACATGCGTCTCAGTGATTCGAAGGCGTCCATGCCAGATAAACGTTGTGTCCTAACTGGCCCCGTGCAAGTGCAGCTGGAACCGAGCTGCAAAAGACGAAAGGGCATAATGCCGGCCGCGACTGCCGGCTGTTATATCATGTCATTCTCGGAAAAGAACAGATCGGCGGATCTCGGGATCCCGTGATAGCCAGGATACTACACCGGCCCTGCATCCGGAATCGGTGATCCTACAAGCCCTGAAGCACGCCGTTACACGGGCCCCTCAGGATCACATCCCCAGCACCCCTCCCCGTGGTTTGTGCGCCCTACAACGCCCTACGGAATCTGCTGAACAGTTTGTGACCATCTACAACCCATCCCGTCGCGACGTTCGGCTCATGACCGCTGTAAGCGCCGCCATGGCAGCCCCAAACATTGGCCTGCACGGTCCAGCACCCAGCACTGTGCGCATGCAGCATTTTGGGACCCAAGCAGGGGGGCCCGTACCTCCAATGCGTACGGGTCGTATTCCGATGGGTTGCGGTCCATTCTCCGAAGGTACACGAAGTCCTCCGTGTTGGGATACTCCCGCAGCGTGTAAATGAGCCTGTGCGAAGCAGCAAGCATTATCCCAAGATCAGTGGCGTTTGGCCCCTCTGGTTTATCTTGACTTTTCAAGACAGGCAAGGCACGAAGTGACATTAACGCGGACCAAAGGATTCCCTGCAAGCATGGCTTGGATCGTGTCACCGGTGCCGCAGGTCTTGTTAGGTCCCTTGTGCCGTGGCGACGCGCAGCCCACGGCCTCGACGCTTGCCCGCCCGGCCTAGGGGACAGTGGGCCTGGTGGCAACCCCAGGCTATGTGAAAGATAGTGCGGACTTATCCCTAGCACGCAGCGTATTCCTTCTCGCTGTGTCCTTGCTGCCATGGACGCTCAGTGAAGCACCCACAGCACCTGCGCTGACCATAGATTGCTTGCTCGCCAAGAGAATGCGTCCCGGTCCTGAGTCAAGGCGCCTGCTGCTGCCAAGTTATGGCCAAGCATGCATGCCTTTCTACCAAATCTGGCGTGCGGAAAGCCAAGCGCTCCCGCTTTCCTGCCAAGGGACTGCCTCGGCGAATACTGCTGCTACACCTGGGGGAGTGCTGGTGCTATCTGTCTCTTGAGGGCATCATGCTGCTGGCCACGTTAAGGAGACCCCGCGCCGCCAGCCGCCTGTTCCCCCCCCCCCCCAAGTGGCTTGGCTCCGGCATGTGTTGCTGCTGCTGGCGACCAGCTGGCTTTCCAGCTGCGACCAGGCGCCTTGATGGTAGTAGTTAAGCATCCAATAGGCTGACCAGGGCTGGGTCCAGCACAAGCTGACAATCCATGGACCGTCCTCCACAAGCATTGCAGATCCAGAACCAGCCGGCTCTACAAGGCCCTGATATGTCCCTGGCCCTCAGGGGGACGTACCGGAAACCTCCCACCAACACAGGGCACCACTGTAGCCCTATCCGTGCCCAGATGTACACCAGCATACCAGCGTCACTTACTTGACGTAAGGCAAGCCCTCTCCAAGCTCTTGCTTGTTCGGAAGGCGCGCTGCGTGGCCATTCCCGTTTTCGCCTCGCGCCCGGCTGACCATGTCGGATGCTGTGACAGGTGGTCGGGGGGGCGAGGCTGCCATGTTCCCTGTTTCAGTGGAGGGAGGTTGGGGGACAGATAGCTTCACCCCAACCTTCTGAGACCGACACGGACACGCTCGTCCAGCAATGTTGGCGTGAAAAAGACTTTGGTAAACGGCTTGCGGATAGCGCACAGTCACAATTCACCCCACCATTACGGCCCTGGGTTCCGCATGTGCTGCCACATTGCGCAATGCGTGCGCTTGGCACTGGGAACCCAATGCTGTGAAGCTCAGTTCAAGCTGTTTTTTTTTCAAAAATCAGATGCAGTAGCTTCGTCCCTTTGCATTTTCGTATCGTATATGTTACATGTTGTACTGCCCGTTGGCCAGCAGCATGTGTTCCCCCGCAACGGTTCCGTCAGGGGGTTTGCAGTTAGGTGCCTTGGTACTTCAACAGGGCGCACAACTCCTAAACTGGCGGGTAAAGAAGCCCCATGGCTACGGTGTGGCCCAAGACCCAACAGCATGCTATAGTCCCCTCTGACCCAAATCCCGAAAGCCCCAGGGCCACGTGGACCTTACCGTCATCACGTCTGCGACCTGAGCCGCGCAGTGGCGGCGCCACTGCTGGGAGTGGTTTATCAAGCGGGGGAACATCCGTCTTCGGAGACTGTGGCGTCTGCTTAAGTTTTTCCAGTACCGGTGCCTGACTCAGGGAAGCCCGCCATGGGAACGGGAGATGGTGTTGCTGGTTGCTGCACGAGCTTCGGATGGAAACATGTGGCCCAAGGGCCCTGAGCAGCTTACCTTCTTCGCGCCCAGGGCATTTAGCGTGCTCCTAATCTGCTGTGCTTTCTCAAAGCCAGCAGTAGCCTCTAGCGGGGCCAAGGACCGCGTGGCGGACTGGGGGATGCAGCGATGAAACACATAAAAGTTACGGCCGCCTTCAGAAGTTATCCTGATTAAACCACATCCTTTTAGCGTACCATTTGCGCCGCTGCTTGCGCCTGGGCATACTTCTTCGCTGCCTTAGGTGCATGCACTCCAGAGGCGACCTTCGGCTGCAGGTACAGCGCATTTTTTAGTTGTCCAGGCTGCTGCTGCACGTCGTTATCCCTGGACGCCATATCTCCTCCGGGCCGTCCTTTGTCAGGTCGACCTCTTCACCGGTCCCGAGTTCCCGTTGACTCGCAATTTACTGAACATTGAATAATGTTCCTTGCAGGGCAATTTTCCCTGTCTACTAATTTAATTCTCCTTAACTTCAAGTCACATAGACGCGTTAAGCAAGCGCTGCTACAAGTAGTCACATAATCAAGGCACAGGATCACGTATGATTATATATTATAAATTGAAATTGTTTTGTGGAGTGTTGATGTTTCCGTTGGGAACCTAAGCTTCGAAGTCCGTGAGTGTGTGTTGGACCGAGTGACAACCAAATCTGAGGCCAACATGCACAACCAGCATATTGTAAAAAGACATATTTGCTGTAATACATCCTAATTTATTGACATCTTGCTTTTCACTAATCGAGGCAACTTTGTTTTCTAATGAGTTGCAATTTGCCGTGGCAGGCTTCAGCTTATGTATCTGTATCTGGTCATAAGATGACATGTGATGAAATGAAATGATTGACCTGCAAGGAAGAGGACCACGCGAAAGTTTAGGCACCTCAGAAGCAGAGCGACGCGCATGCAAGCGTAGGAGACATGTTTAAGGTAATACTGGCGACGCTGAATCACTGTTGTGACCATCTGACCAAGGGTTGACAGCTCATGTAGCCTTCGGACCTGCTCCCTTGCAGCTGCCTCTGCTTCAACCACAGCTGACAGGTCCAAATGGCATTGAAAAAAGGGAGAGCCAATCCGTTATGGCGCCCTTCGGAGGCGGTGGTTCCAGGTGAGGCTAACAGGCGGAACGCACCTAAAGGGTTAAAGGCTCCTGTGCCGCCAGCGACGAGCACAAAGTACCGTTGCCATCACTGGGCTTGTCCGGGATAGGACAGATCGCGGGGCCGCTGCCTGGACCGTCGCTGCACCAGCGGTGTGTGTGTGTGTGTGTGTGTGTGTGTTTGTGTGCGCGCGCGCATGCAAGCCATCACAGTGGACGAACGCGTTTGCCTTTGTGGGGCGGCTGTGCGCTTACGAGGATGCCCATGCGCTCATAGGTAGGGGGGTTAGCGTTCCTATCCTCCTGCAGGGGTGTAATAACCCTTCCTGGTACAATAATTCACACCCGTATCAGTCACCCGTATCACCCGTATCAGTCAATGCCACGCGCCATCTCGAACAGCAACCACCAGGGAATGGGTTACCAGTCAGGCGTGAGGATTTCAGGCTACGCACGGCGAATCGCAGGTCGGGCAAGGAGGCGGACTTGGCGGCTGCTGTGGCGGCGGCGCAGACCGCGTCATTTGATGTGCGCGGCTGGTCGCGGCAGGTACGCCGTGCCTGGAGCTTGCTGCTGGGCTGGGCATATTGTTTACGGAAAAGCGTAGACAATCATTGGTTACCGGGGTGAAGCTTGTATTCTGGCACGGCTCCGGAACGGCTGGCTAGGGCGGAACGGCTGGTGGGAGGGGTACTTGAGGCGATGCCTTGCCGGAGGGGAGTCCTGAGCGAAAGGAAAGCTTTGGATAGGTAAAAGTCGACTAACGCTGGTTCAGCAGGCATCCTTGGCAGTCGGGTGCCGGCGAAGGTGGCGCTTTCACTGCCCCGGCCAACGCTCGCTAACCGAACCAGCACGGCCACCATCTCAGCCGCCCTCTCGCTGCCCTACCCGCCCCGCCGGGCTGGCTCATGTGCACGCGGCCGCACATACTGTTCCATTCTGTGCCGCGACCACATCCACAGGCTAAGGAGATCACTTCTGACTTGACTGGCTCGGACAAGTACAAGAGCCTGGCGTTACATGCGGAGGTTAAGTTAGCGGAGGCGCTGGAGCGGTGTGAGAGGGTCAGCCCCGTCACCCGCAGCAGCAGTGGTGAGGAGCGGCCCAATAAGCTGCGGACCGCTGTGGCCTGTCAGGTGGGTTGCTAGCTGGCTGGTTACAGGAATTCTTGCGCGCCGGCAAGTGATAACGGATGGCTTTTTTGTCGGAGGCATACGCACCTTTGGGCCGTGTGGCGGGTGGGCCGGGTAACTTGCAAGCCAAGCCGTCTTGGCTTTGCGCCCTGGCGGCACAGTGGTGCCGGAGGGTGTGTGAGATGGCATGGAGGAAGCCGCGGCGGGGCCAGCATTGCACCGCTGCAACCAGGTTCCCTGGAGCCCCCCTGGGCTTCTCTAACGCAGCCTCGGCCCCGCGGGGACCGTTGCTCTGCCGTCCCCGCTTCATGCACGGGGTCGGCTGCATCGGCTGCTGATGCCCTGCCGACAGCTTGGACGAAAACTGGCCTCCTTGCGGCTTTCCTTTCACGGCCAGGTTTTGCATATTGTTATGATGTCTTGCTTATCAACGACGCTGGTTCGAAACCCGTGGTGGCCACAGCTGCTGGGCGAGTTTGCGGAGCTGTGCGGCCCCTTCTCTGGAGTGCTTATCACGCTTCGTGACGAACTCCTTAAGGCGGTTTATTCTTGGCATTACGCCTCGGAGCGCGGCGGCCTGTCTTTCGACCAACTGCCATGGTTTGCGGTTTCGGAAAGGCTGGAACGGGACAAGGAGGCCATGCTGGAGGAGCGCGAGGCTTTCAAGCAGCAGCTCCAGGAGCAGCAGGTAGGGGTGGGGCGTAGGAGGGAATTGAGGTGGATTTGAGTAAAAAGCTGAGGAGCCAGACTAGACCCGGACCAAGCGCGGCGGCGGTGCATTAGCGGGATACGGCGCGGTTCGAACGGAAGGTGCTGAAGTGTTTTGTGCGTGGCGAGGAGGGTGTGGAAAGAGAGATTCGGGATGGCTAGCATGATGGTCTAGGGTTGTTAGGAAATTGGGTTTTTTAGAGGGCGCGTGGGGGACGTGGTTGGGAAAGCAGAGTGGAACGTCCAGAATGGGCCAGCGACCAGCCGGCCGCCTAGGCGCCTGGATGAGGTTTTTATGAAGGACGCATATGGCATCATGATCGCCAAAGAATGCCATCAATAAAATGTTGTCAGCATCAATAAATAACGGTGTCGTTAGCAACAGCAGGAATGCCAGCAATTGCAGCTGCGGAGACCCGGAGGCTTCCTCTCCTACTCACCTTGCCATGTGCTTTGCCGTATGATGTGGCTTACGGCCTTTAGTGACGTGGGCTTTCTTTCGTCGCCGTCATGACGGATGGCGCACTACATGCTCTGCAGCCCAAGCAGATGCCCTGCATGTTTTTGTCACCTCCCAATCTGCGACGTACCGGAGCCCAGATGCCACCAGTTGCGGGCATGCGAGATCAGCACCGGTACTCCTGGCCAGCAAGCCGCAATACACAACCCCCTCTCGCAACCCCGTCTTTCTGCGTAGCTCGGAAAGCCTGTCCCATGGCTGCTGGGACAACATCAGTCGATGTTAAACTCTGACTTTGTTCATCATTCGCTCCAATCTGACCTTTCCCAACCTAATTTCTGCCCACCTCGACCACAGGAGGCTGTGGCGCGTATCGAGGATCAGATGAACGCGCTGCGGCGCGCCACGGAGGTGGCTCAGCTGGATGCGGCGACGCTGCGGTCTCACCTGGACCGGGTGATGGTCAGCGAGGAGTCCGCGAGGCTGGAGGTGCGCCGGGCCTGAGTGCACGACTCTACGAGTTGGACGGGCTGTTGGGTTGTTGTGGGCTGCTGTGTGCGGGCGTCCAGACGCGCGACCTAGTTCGCTGTTCCGCTGACACCGTACGAAACTCTGCGGCGAGCCCTCCTCCTGCTCACCCTGGCATCCTGTGCTGCAGGCCAAGACAGGCCGCGAAGAGCTCAAAAAGCTGCGCAAGGAGTACCTCAAGATGAAGGACGAGCTGGAGGCGGAGCGGGATGCGCACACCAAGCTGCAGGTGTGGATGGATAGGCAGGCAGAGAACGCAAGCCCGACGGGAATCGTGCTATCCATTGCGTGAGCCGCACAAGGGGAACTTCAGATCCGGCCATCCTAGGCGGGTCTGTACGTGAGTCTGAAGCGAGAGACTTCCAGCGTACAAGAGACTTCCATGCTGATACTGCACATGGCGGAAATCTGATGATGTGCAACATGACACACCGCACCACCACCTCGCGGCCCACTGCAGGAGCGACACGTTGAGCTGAAGGAGTTCTCGGCCGCCCGTATTGCTGAGCTGTCCGCTGCGCTGGCGGCGGCGGAAGTGGACGCGGTTGATGCCAGGCGGCTGGCGGAGAGCCGCATGCCGCCGGAGGTGTACGAGAAGCTGCAGGCAACGCTGGCGGATACGCAGTCGGAGTTGGAGCTGGCGCAGTCGCACATCCGGGACGTGGAGGCCGTCAACTCGAAATTAGCGCACCGGCTGGACGTCATGACACCGAGACCGGTGTGGCGCAAGATTGCGGAACACAACATTCAGGTGAGACGGCTACTGGCAGTGGACTGGCTGTTGCGCCGGTGTGGGGCTAGGGTTGGTGAGGCCTCTTGCATGGCTGGCCATGCCCACCGACGCGGCTGCCCGGCAGCCCGGCCATGCCCCGCGGCGGGCCCTGGAAACGGTTTAAGCGAACTAACAACTGGACCAGTTCTGCGATTTGGGTCACGTGCTCTCTCCACGTCTCGGCGTTCCCTCTTAACAGCGTTCCGTCATATCCGTGTCAACATCTCATTACCCTGATTCATGTACGTTTCCCTCTCCCGCAGCCCGGTCGCCGTACTGCGGAGCTGGTCCACAGAGTGGAGGAGAAGCTGGGCCGCTACGCCAATGAGCTAGAGGAGCTCAAGGCGCGACTCAACCTGGCGGCAGCGCTGCTGCAGCCTGACGCGGCGCCCACGGAGGTGCAACTGTCGTTGATCACGGAGGATTTAAACTGTGAGTGGCTTGGGCTGCAGGTTTTTGAGGGTTGCGATGTAAGGGCTGTGTCGTAGCCGCGGCGGAAGCGGCGACGCGACTGGGTCGGCTGGGCAGTGACCGAGTGTGGCAGAAGGGCGGACCACGGGCCGGGGCGCTTCGTGCATGAATATGTGCACGTCGCTGTTGTAGTCATCTGTCTGTGCAGTTGATGTGTCATGAAAAAGGGGAACGCAGCAAGGATGTTGCCTGTAAGGGCCACGTGTTTCTCTTCCATGACCACACAGGTAATTGTTAATGCCATGCCGCAGTGGAAGCGGTGGAATGGCAAGGCGTTGGTTCTGCATATCCCAAGCCTATGTCCCGTGCTTGAAAACGCGCTCGCAAAATGAGTGTATTGTACTGGAAGAGGAGTTGCTTTCATTAGGGCGTAATATTGGTTCCGTGTAATGTACTCCTGTTCACCTCGACAGATTTTTTGACGGAGGGCGCGGGCAGCACCACGGGGCCCACCTCCAACGGTCCCGCCGTAGCGGAGCCTTGCGGCCTGGCGCCCACGGTGCCTCGCTGCCTGCGCTGGCCGCAGCGAGTGACCCTGCAGACGTTGTCACAAGAGCAGACAGAGGCCATCGCCATGGCCATGTGGAAGGTACGGTATGGGGCAGTCGGAGGGCCATGCTGTAGAGTCCGCGAAGCCGGACGGTGCGGCGAAGCAACCAAAGCACACGCACAGTGGTTTGCTTTGGCACATTAATTATGCGTCGTGCATCGGCAAGACGGCTGGCGAGAATGAGGCTGGGACCAACGGGCGGGCGATGCCCCAATGGACAAACGCGGATGCCATGGCGGTCATGTTCTAGAATACTGAGGAGCTCTGTCCTGTGAGACAGAAGCGTAATAGGGCCCATTGCTTTCTAGGCGACATCACCACCATCACTCAAAAGCATGCCTTTCCGGCGCCGCACTCATGGAGGCCCGTCTATTCTGGTGGTACTTCTGATATTTTGTATTGATTCTGATATCTCGCACCCCTAGAATCTAAGACAAGCGCACTCATGACCATCGAATCACGTTCGCTATTTCCTTGCCTGTCCCCGTGTCCTCTTCGCCGGTCCTGCTGCTTGAAGGCTCGCCAAGCTATGGACGTGTCATCCTCATCGGGTACCTTGCAGTCCTTCGTGTACTACTATTTCAACCCCCAGGTGGGCACGACGTAAAAGGGCTGGCGACGGTAGCTTAGGGGCGAGGGGACCGGCGGTAGCGCTGGTAGCGGGCGCAACCCCTGGCTTCGAAAGGATGAAGATCGGATAGTTACTGCATTTTTCCTTATCCTATTGCGCATTCAGGTTGCTTGCTTAGGCAACGTCCCACGGGCCGGTCTTGCGCTTGTATGCTCTTTTGCCCATATGCAGCAAACCCCCGCGACGATCTATGGCCCACCCTGTCGAGCCCATTGCGGTTCACCTCACATAGGCTGTAACTTTCGTCTGCATGCTTTATCCTCGCTCAGGGTATGGCTACAGCCGACACCGCTCGCATGTGCTACAGCTTCTATTACGCTTGCTCCACATACGCCAAGTCCAGCGCAGTCGTACGGACGTTCTGGCTGGTGATGACAGGGCAGGTTTCGGAGGCAGCAGCGATCGATCAGCGCATCATGGTTTCAGGACTGACGGCGCTGCTGCACAGCCTGCCAGCCGTGAATGCCGCCGCTGGCGATTTGTTGGCTGCAGGTGAGTGCTCCTGCGGATATCCCTGGTGTTCTTGAGTGACTGTGCGGTGCACGAAGCGTAACTGGGGAAATAACCGTAGGAAGAAGGTGCCGGATGAATTGCGTTTAGCGAAAGCGATGAGCAAATGTACCGTAAACATTATGTCACGGGATCCCCGAAAGCCGCATAAGAGAAGTGGCGCACACAGCGTTAACCACCCTTTGCGCAATGTAACTCCTCGATCCTGATCCGCCGCAACCGCCATTGGACTGGTGTCTTGTGTAACAGCTATCCGGTGCATGCTAATTGGAGGAAAGAGATGAAAGCAGCTCCAACCCATCCCATTCCCGTGTATTCCAACGCTCCCCCTCGTCCCCTCGGACCTATCCCCCCAGAACGCATCCTGCACATCGAGGACGTATCCTCCGCCTTGGAGCGGCTCTTCCCCAACCGCCCCTCCTTCCGCATCAGCAAGCTGCGCGACGCCCTGCGCACCCAATTCGGCGGCGCCGAGACGGTGCGGCTGGAGGCCCTCCAGGCAGTGCTGGATTCGCACGGTCTGCATGCCCCACCTGCCTCCACCGCGTCCAGCACGGCCAAGGCGACGCGCTTCCGGCAGGAGCTGATTGGGTCCGGCAGCAAGGGCGGCGCGACTAGCGGCGGCAGCCATCCTGTGGGTCCGTTTATTTCAGTGCTGCTGGCACAGCATATTGACGAGATCCAGACGCTTTGCATGGAAGTAGCGACGCAGCTGGCGGATACGCCTGCGGTGGTGGATGCTACGGATGGTGAGCACGGCGACAACCCTGCGGAGGTGGTGGCGGTGGTGGAGAAGCTAGGTGCTCTGCTTGGCCCGAGCCGTGCAGCGGCGTGCGTCCTGGCGGCGCTGGGGTTCTCGACGGGCGATGGCAGCGGCAGCGGGCGGCGCAACAGCGCCGAGGGCGAGGATGTGAGCGGCAGCAGCGGGGATGACATTGTAATGCCCATGGGAGCGATCGTGGACTTGACCGACATGACAGCGTGGGTGCTACGACGTTGCCTGATTAAACCAGTGGGCAGCTACGACATCAGCGGGGCGATGCAATGGGCGCGCGAGGCGCTTGATGACGCCGGGAGCTGAGGCCGCGATGGCGTGGTTTTTGCAATAAGCGGCAGCAGCTTCAGCGGCTGAGGGGGCAACTGTAGCGGGTTTGTGCAGGTGCAGCATTGAGCCTCGCAGCGAGCAGGGCATTAATAAGCAAAGGGGACGGGGTAATTTTAGTGGGTTAAGGAGGTGGGGATGATCGCTGCGGGATATATGGTGAATTGCTATCCATGTATAGCGTGGAACAGTACTGAATAGACTATATAGATACTAGGCGCACAGGCATATTACGTTCCTGCTGGCGAGCTGCACGGCAGCTGCTGGTGCGATTCTGGTGGGGAGCATGCCAGGCAACGGACGCTGGAAATGCATGTCAGTGTTCCGGGTCACAAGCCTCGCGGGACGAGGAAGCATCTGCACGCGCAAGGCCGGGTTGCGGCCGCAGACACGTGTCGTTGGATGGTATCATGGCCGGCCGGCCGGCCAAGTGTGCACTGAGGAGGCGGTCCGCGTACTCCCTTGGGCCCATCCGGTCATCAGGATGTGACCGGCTGAATGTGGCTGTACGGGATTTCCTAATGAAGCAACATGCGTGTGTGCGTGAGATGATCATTCATGCGTCAGGATACAGATGGAGGGAGGGACGGCGGGCATGCTGAACCAATAAGAACCTTAAAAGCCGCAGTGTCGTCGAAGGCACGGTGGTGGGGCGCGCACGGGCGCCGCTAGCCGTTTGGAAACGTGCAGATAATGTTTTAGTCTGGCTTAGGGTCTCCAAGTACCCTAGGAGGCGTCTTGCGTTGCTTCTTGCATGTAACGGTGTGCTGGCTGCAGAATCCATGGGGGCGCCCCATGTTGCTGAACTGTGTGTCAAACCGCAACAGCGCAACTGGGCGGAGTAAAGACCCAGGGTAGGACGAGACTGAAAACGTGTGGACGCGTGGAGTTGTGAAGGACTGGCATGCTCTACATAGGCTCTCAGCTGGCCATAGACGTTCCCGCTGGTTCACACATATAGTGATGGAGTGAGCTTGCAAAGGACAAGGACTGGGGTTATCCACGCTATGCCGTGCTCGTCGGGACATGTGACACCCAGCCGTGTAGAGCCCACACTACGAGTCCATTGAGCTCGCAGTTCGAGAGGGGGAAACCGGCATCCTGGCGCCATCATTCGTGCGCATATTCCTCATTTGAGTAAGGTCCACGTCACCATGACAGGTATTTGTGAATATGAGGGTCGGATTCGTTTGGCGGTCGGTACGATGCATGGCAACTGATATCCAACACATGCACCTGCACAATACGTATCGCATCGAACTTAACGCCGTGTCCACCTCACCTGCAGTCAGGGCATACCCTTTGTGGACTGTGCGTACGGCCTTAGGGTGTTATGCACCCTCACATCACCATAATACATCTCGGCGACTGCCCAATAAGCCACACTCCCCTACCTCCCGTTCCCGAGCCCCGCACCCATCTGGTGCAGATTTTCGAACCGCTTTTGCGGATGCCCGAACCGGTCTCACAGAATCTGCGGGTGCAGCTTTGGACCCCATCAAGCTGCATTATCTAGTGTTGTTCAAGCGACAGAACATCTTGGGACACTATCGGCCACGGTGAGCAAGTCGATTTCACTGGCATGGCGCTACGGTGGCCCTGCCACCAGCCGTGCCGCACCGCTGTGCCGCCCCCTCGTTTCCCAAGCCAGAAGTCTACCCAAGTCCCCAGCCGGCAGGCGCGTTTGCCGCTGCCGTTGCCCCTTGGCTGTCTTTAATGCTGATGTCCGCTCCAGATTCCACCAGGAGATCGTACACCTAGTCCAAAGGAAAGTGGGTCGCCGGCGGTACATCAAGTGGAGGCCTGCCTTTCATGGCTACAAGGCATGGTTTCATCATTCAAGATAAGGCTGCCACCCAGCGCTACGAGCATGGTAAGGCGTGACCCCATGCCAACGCACAAAGGAATGTAACAAGCGCGTTAGCTGTTTGGCGCGTCCAACGTTCAACAGAGACGGATGCAATGAGAGAGCGTTGTGGCAAGCGCATGGTAAATCCAGAGCCGTCTCACCTCTCGATGTTCTGTGATGGCTGCGTAATGAAGCGGGGTCTGCCCGTCGGCGTCTTGCGCGTTCAGGTCCGCCCCTGCCTGGATTAGCAAGCGCGTAACCTCTACATGGCCCCGATCTGCAGCGAAGTGCAGAGCGGTGCAACCCGTTTCGTCTCTCCCGTCGATGGCTTCGCCGGCATCCAACATGCTTGCCACCGCAGAGACGTCTCCCTCGCCCGCAAGCTCGTGCAACGTCCTTGGCCCCTGAACGCGACGCGACGCAGTCGATAAGAAGGTTCCGGTGTCCCTTCGATGCAACTTTGGTCGGCGCTTACCGCTGTCTGGCTGTCATCGTTCGCATCTTCGCCGGCGGCCAAGCAACTGAAGACGGGGCCCATACCCCCCCTGCCTTTTGGCTGGCTCCCGCCCGCACCCTCCTGTCCCCATTCCGGTACAATCGTCTTAAGCAGTTCCACGTATTGCTTCATAGCGCTCGCCTTTGGTAAGTCGCCCAGCTGCGCCCATGCATCCCTGTATCATACATTCTCATACGGCTGACTTGCTTAGTCCTCTGAAATAATAACACGGGGAAACGCTTCCAAATGGCTTACCACTTTGCGCGGCCGGCCACGTCCCAGAAGCCTGGCCTATTGCCGGCGCATTGCCCAGAGGTCGCTTGCTTGTACAAACCATAAAATTGCAGTTTAATAGCGTCCGTAAACCTAGAATCCCTTGCAGTCACCGCTGAAGCTAGGAAACTAGCGGCAGAACCGAAATTGTCCTCTTCATCTGTTGCGACGCCCTCCAAAACGTCTTCCCTCTCAGCCACATCCAACATGCTTGGCTAAAGGTGCTAACAGTGTTTACAAAAAGCAATAAGAAATGGGCAATGCCAGGGCCCGTCACTTCTATTCACATCTGGCTACTGCCGGACAACCGGAAGCCTGCGTAGCTGCCCGTCCCGGCACCGCCAGCACCATGCATTACGCGCACAACAGTATGTACTACCCAGTCCCAAGCCTAAGTCCCATTCATCTCATCGCACCAGCGCGCAGCACATCAATCATATTGAATAGCGTCGTTTCGCTCTTCTCCGCTATCCGCTGGGCTAGGAAGAGGGTAGCGTCCACGGTGCCTTCCGCATACGTCGTGCGACCGATGACATTGTGTTGGAACTCAAACATCACCGTCCCGTCGCCAGAAACCAGCTGGTACGTGTGGTACGCATGTCCATTGAGTGCCGACTCGGGCACCTTCATAACCTCCATCTGTTCCTTTGGCTCCCGCACCAGCTCGATTTCTGACACGTCAAATTTGATGCCCATCTCCACAAACGACTGCACAACGGCCTTCGCCGTCCCCGACGTGTCCTTCTTCGTCGACTGGTGGGACTCGACCACTCGGAGCCTGTAGCCCGAGAACGCGCCAGGAAAGTTTTTAGCCATCATGTCCATCATGGCCTGGAATGCCACGATCTGCTTGCCCATATTGGGTGCAATGACGGCGTAGGTCCTGGCTGCCGCAACCTCAGAAAGAATCCGCGCTCGGTCGCCCCCCGTGGTGCCCATGACAAACGGCGTGTTGTGCCGCACGTAGAAATCCACCATGTCGTGGATGGCGTCAGGCAGGGTATAGTCGACCATGATGAGGTTAGGGTAGCGGGCCTTGATGTCCGCGATCGCGACATCACGGACGGCAGGCGGCACGAGCTCCAGCTGCACACCCTGGACTGTGACATGGGTCTTCTTCTCGATGTCCATGGGGGCGCACAACGTGTACGGCACCAGGTCAATGTTGGCGCGCAGGGCCGCCTCTGCCACCGCCTGGCCCATCTTGCCAGTGCAGCTGTCGCGGGGAGTCATACAAGAGAGTTTCGTGGTATTGCGTTTCAAGTGCGCGACAACGGGATTGAACTGCTTCGGCGAAAAGAGAAGGAACATACATGCATCCGGACAAAGGTAAACCCTCGGGGAGATGCAAGTCGGATCGGGGATGGGCGTGCAGCAGCGGCAGGGGTCGGGGTCATAACGGAAGGCACATTATGGAAGGGCTATGGCTCTGGACGGCCCCCACAATTCATCTCCCCCCGTTTGACATTGCTCGGATAGTGATAGTTACCTGTTAACCATAAGCTGGAACTTAGGCTTGCTGGACGCCATCACCACCACGGAAGTCCGAGCGCATCGGCAGCGGCTCGATGCAGCGAAAGCTCCTGGGTTTCTCAGTGGATGCCTTGCAAGCATTTTAGGAAATGCAAGTGTATTGTGATGTTTTAGATCACACAGTTGGCGGCGGTTGTCCGGAAGGGGTCCTAGGACAATATTCATGCAAAATCGTCCTTCATCACAGCAATGCGTGATACAATGCAACCTATGTGAGCTAATCGTAACTAAGGTCAAGTTACGGCACGTCGTACCTCGCCGCTTGTTGCCAAGTTATGTATGGCCAACCATTTAAAAGTTACTATTTTACCTTTTTGTCGCACATTTTTAATTAGCGTAGGAGAGGCGCAGCCATAGAAGTTATGCTGACGTGCGCTGTTTTTAACTCATGAATGCTGGGCTAGCCCCAAAGAGGACAATATTATTGAACAGTATTTCTACTGCGTGTTGAACATCGCCGAACCTTTTTTAGCTTGTAGAGCGGATCCCCAAAATGGCAACACTGTCAGACCGCTTAAACATTAACAGCCAGATTGAGCATCTTCAGGCGAAGTACGTGGGCACTGGACATGCTGACTTCACCAAGTTCGAGTGGGCGCTAAACATTCATCGTGACAGGTCCGATAGGCCCTGGGATCGCCGCGAGTAAACCAGGGTTTGGCTTGGATAAAGGGGATGCTTGGCAAGCTGCAACCCTGCAGTTGCGCTATAATTGCCAGTAAGCCAAATGGTGCCCGGCGGCACGGCGTATACTCCTGCTGCGCTCTGGCCTGCCGCTCGCCCTACTTTGTCCCACAAACCCCCTCTCGTCAACTCCACCGCAGCTACGCTTCTTATGTCGGCCATCACAACATGGTAGCCTACTTTGGGGTTGTTGAGAACGAGTCCATTGGGCGCGTCAAGTACGAGTTCCTGCAGCGTATGCTGCTGCCGTGTGGCCTACCGCCGAAGGCACAGGAGCAGAGCGAGGACGAAGAGGACAAGTAAAACTTGGCTAAGAATACTATGCGGACCATGTTTTCGGCCTGAGTGTCCCTTGCGTTGGAAATGTAACTCGTTCAACTTCTAAAGCTAGCGGCCAAGACAGGGCTGGTACAATATCTTTGGGGTTGGGGGACTAATCCGACTTGGGAGGATTTCCCACGTACTGGTACGCCCAACGAATCCAGGTCTGCTTTCGCTTTGCTCCTATCGTCGGCGAAGCCGTGCACGTGGTGATGCGTTCACACCACCGCAGTGTCGTGACAATGGTTGTTCACTGGAGCGGTAAGGGATATTACGGCCATCCTCGTGCCTTCCTGTGGAAAGCCGGCACCCTGAGGGTGCAGCCAAAGTGGTTGCTTAAGGCTAGGCGGGCAAAGTGTATGGCTTTGGGAGGTTAATCTTTACCCCTGTGCTCGGCGTCTTTTGTTGAACTTCACGAGCTGACACTCGCTTTTCCATGTGAGGGGTATGACGGGTGGCGGTTCCTACGGATGAGAGGTGATGAGTCTATCCGTCCTCATGGTGCGCAGGGTGGAAACTGACTTTGTTGCGCCTGCTTTGGTGATAGTGACGTCGTGCATGAGGTGTAGCAGGCAGGGTCGTGGGCTTGGGTGCTCGGTACTGTATGCTCCCTCAACGATTGACAGATAAGGTTCATTGCTGCAACCAAGTTACTGAGTATAACTAGCCCAACACGGATTGTACCATCTGTGTCCTACACTTACCTTTTTGAGACCGAAAACCCTACTAAAACTAATTCCGAAATCATTCTGTTGGAGAGGCATTGTGCGAAAGACGGGCGGTTGCAGTTTTGCGCTTGCGGTATTGGCTTCGCGGTATCGTGTGTTTATGCCTTCCCGCTTGACCGTTGACCGCAGCAATAGCACAGCCGACGGGTCGATAACCACCTGTCATTACACTTCTCTCTACCACTATTCGCAACTGCTGATTTGCTGGAACCGAGAGACCCCAACACGTGCCATGGACAGTTTGCTCCAGTTAGCTAGGTAAATATGTAAATAGGCCCACATAACGCTGTCAATACCGGGCTGCGTTTGAAGCCAATAGTGTCAGGGCAAGTAACAGGTCTGGCACAGCCGCCACCACGGCTGTAGGGCTAGGATAGCCACATGTGCTACTCTCCGCCTCGTGAACCTGCATGTTGCAGCTAGCTGCGGCAGAGGGGCAGAAGAGCACCCGAGGCCGGGCCCATGGCCTGCGGAGATGCAGCCTGGCTATCAACAAGGGAACCCGTTGGAGTGCCCGGGTCGGTATTGGCGCTCTCCTGTGCAGTGCTTCCTCCGTGTTCCCCCTCTCTCAACCGAGTGTGGAGTGTCACTCGCAGTCATAGGGCCGCAAGGATGCCTCCAAGGGTGTTCAGCAAGACAGGATGCCCTCGCTCGACGTAGTCATGGCCAGTGTTAGGCAGCCACACGAAGTTGTGGGGTCCAAAAAGGTGCCGACTCCAGGCGTGGATCTACGGAGCCAAGAGGTTTGATTGGGAACTGGGTTAGGCATGTCAGCAGCTCAGACTAACGCTCAAGGTGGGTGCTGGGTCAAAGCCTTAGCCAGGCGGCATCTGTCGCCTGGCTCTGGGGGCCCCGTGGATTGAGGTTCCGTGAACGAAGAGGTATTGCACAGTGAAGCACCATCACGGTATTTCCTTCACACCCACCTGCTCCCGTGTATAGCGCCGGTCTAGCTCTCCCGCAAACACGGTGGTGGGCACAGCGACGGGCTGGTTGGCCGCCGGCAGCTGCAGAAGGTCCAGAAAATGAAGGGGCCCGTGGTCCTGAACTTTGTCATGGCCAGCTAGGGGAACTTGACTAGCAGCAGGAAAGCTGGCGAAGTAACCCAATGCACGAATACTCCAGGTTCAAAGGTTCAAATGGGACATGTCTATCACTCTGAACCTCAATGACCCAGCTCGTGGTCAAGGGAATTTCAGTTCGACACGGCAGCGTGCGTTCCATGGGGTCACGGTAAGGCGCGCTCTATGCCTGCACCCTACCTCGTAAGTCTCAACGAGAGCAAAATCAGCCCGAAGCACTGGCCACACAAGCTGTCGAACCTTGGGATTAGCCTGCAATCAGTCGCGTCGATGGTTCTGGGTCTGCTGAGCACAATCCATTTCACAACTGCACCAACACAGAGAGCGGTATGTACACATGCATGCAAGTACAAAACACTGCTGTAAAGGAGAGGACTCCGGCCACCAGTACATATTCAGCGGATGAGTGCCCGCACCGGCATCCGTCCGGCCGTAAGGCGCACCCACCAGATGCGGGTTGCTGGTGCCGTACCGAGCCCCGAAGGCGTCCCAGAACTCCTCCGCGGTAGCCAGCTTGTGCAGGCGGGTGGGGTCCAGGTCGTCGTGGGCGGCGTACAGGTGCGGAGCCCTGGATGGGTCGTGGGTAGGAGGTGAAATGAGGAGTGTTGATGTACTGGGCAGCCTGCTGGCAGGCAGCCTTGAGCGCTCCGCACCCAAGTGATTTGGAGCGCATGTGTGGTGCTTTCCTCGCCTCGTTGTGCCTCCCTCTGCTCGGGTTGTGCCTCCCTCTGTACTGGCGCCGTTATGTTCTCCCATTCGGGTGCGCTAACGGTGCGCAGCACCAGCACTGCCGCAGCAAAACCCAGCAAACCCGCACACACACCTGCACCCCGATACGAACAGATGGACGGGCAGAGGGCTCCGGCTGCGCATCAGGTCCTGCGTTCGGTTTGGATGGTGTCTCGAGGGATTCAGCAGAGATATAGCGATACCGCCACCTTGAGCTGAATCTTCCTCCTTTATTAGGCACACGGTCGTCTCGCGTCAGGTGTATCCAACCATACATCTAACCATAAATTGAGAGACCTGTCAAGGTCGAAAATCCTTCCGACGGTGGAAGGTAAAGTGCCCCTAGTCGATGGACGGTGGTGACGTGGGATAAAGTTGAGTTGCGAGCTGCCCAGGAATGGACTTGAGCCGCCGTCGATCCGGCAGGTACCGTTGGATGCCGGTGGTGGGTGCGGAACCTAAGCGATCCACTGAGAAGTTGACTAGGGTGACTGGATGAGGGTGCCCCGAAATACCGGGGAAGGCAGGGTTTCGCCAGGTAGCGATCACGGGTGAAGATATAACCCCCGTGTCCCACACATCATGCATTTAAGCAACCGGCCGATTCTTCCGGCTCGATCTTTTTCCTTCGCTAACCGCCCCCTCATCAACCCACAGGCCGACACATCTGCACTCGATTTGATTATGATGCGTGTCACAGGACCCACCATCACCAGTACAGACCCCATAACTTGATACTGCTGTCGGGACGTTTTCTTCCCCTTCGTCTCCCCGAAGGGGAACACCCCTTCTTCCCCTAAAGGGGACTCCGTCCCCTTTAGGGACTCCGTCCCCTTTAGGGGAAGCGATATCATTGGTGTTATTCTATGCGGGCATAACGTGGCCATACGTGGACATAACATTCACATATGTCCCTAGCCTTACTTGTGGCTCTTATTAGGCTCTTGGGCCCTCTGGCTCGAGTAATGGGCACTCGTTACACCTCCCTGGGTAACGCAACCGAGGTGTAACACACACACACACTCACACACACACACCACATGCAGTATTCACCTACCGGGGTCAGGAGCCCCCTGCTGGGGGCCAGAGGCAGTTCAGCTTTGCCTATGGCTCTCCCAGCTACCTATACAGCTACACATGCACCCACAAGTACATCGCCACATCCCACCTGGACCACCTCATACGCGATCCAGGCGCCCATGCTGTGGCCGAACAAGGCGTACGGCAGACCTCCCCTGCGTGGCGGCGTGGTGCCAGACAGTGACGTGGGACACCATTGTGAGAGTGTCGAATCTTGGTGACCTTATTTGCGGCATCTGAGGGCTTGCTTGAGTGCCCCTGCGAATGTAATACGGTTTAGGAAACCCCCTTACTACACTGCATAGGTTTTTGGTGGTGTTTCACACCCATGCTCGCAACGATGCGTTTAAGCGAGGGTCGCACAGTAATTTTGGACCTCTTGAGTCTTTTCCTCGATAACAAACGTTGCTGCAACCCCGCAAGCACCGTGCTGCAACCCCGCAACACACGAGATGCACCACGATTGCGAGTTTGTATGCAGTTGTGTATGGATGCAGTTGGGGTGTGGCGACTTTGTACCTGTTTTCCAGGACCCATCGCACGACATCAGCGATATCAGCAGCCAGTTGTAGCAGGTTTGTGGCGAGAGACTCCCGCATTCGACTGTTGTGGCCGGGGAGTTCGATGGCCAGAACCTGCCGGTACCAGACAGCAGTAGCAGCAGGTAAGCAACAGCACGTGATAAACCAATTGCACGCTACGCGGTTTCATCACGGAGTTACAGTTGTCAGTGCGGGGGTTAGTACATATCAGGATAGCGCAGTGGGCTGCTAATTGCCCGCGGTATTCCACACGATGCGCCATTGCACTGCCCTGCCGACCGCCACAGCCTGCACCCGACCAGATCATCAGCACCCCCAAGTTCCGCACCTTCACCCCACGCTCGGCAGCCGCCCACCTCTACGTGCACCGCTATGGCTTCCCTGTCGACCTCTAACTATGCCGAGACCGACTACTTCTGCGAAGGCCAGACGTCGCGAGGCCACAACTGGTTTGTGCACCTCTGCCCACCGCCAACCGGCACCAATGGCACCGTGCCTCCATGTACGTCATCCCCACCTGCTTCACCTCCCTGGATGAGCTTCATCTCCTTTTGCCCCATCTGGCCACCTCACGATGACACACAGCGAGAACGCGTCCTCACTCGCCTCGCTGACTTGTGTGCGGAGTGGCAGCGGCTGATGAACCTCAGCAAAGTTACCCGCCAACTCATGCCCGCCCTCCTCACCACCCTCTCCCCGCCGCCAGACGCCCCCTCCACCACCAACCCTGCCGGATCAGGAGGCCAGTGATGCTCCCTCACTTGTAACAACAATATGACCGACACCATGCCAGCCCTCAGTCCCCAGTCCCCAGTCCCCCGCTCCACATCTACCGCCTCCCGCCTCCCGCCCCCCGCCCCTCAACCCTACCCTACCCCCCATGCCACCCGACCCGAAGGGGCCTCCAGCAGGGCACGGACCCACCTCCACTCCTTGGTGCACCAAATGCCGCTCCCAGGCGTGATACACCCACGCGCCCATGCCCGCCTGCACACGATAGCACCCAAAGAACCCCAGAAGGGATGAATTATTAGGCAGCGCATGTAAGACGTGAGAGCACTGCTGGACGAGATTCGCATACATGCGATGCGGTGATGGTGGATGGAGTGATGACTAGGCGTAAAGCCTACGAAGTCACTCACAAGCAAGCTTCCACTGCCAGCACTACACTAGTATTCTGGCAATCGGAAGCAAGCAAGATGTCTAAAGGTGAACTGGAACCTCTGGGGCAATCCAGCAGGAGGCAGGAGCCATCTGGAACCTCACTCTAGGAGTCGAATGAAGTGCGTAGGAGGCCTACCTAGGAGACCCAGTTAACCAAGTATTGATTAGTCTAGCTGTTGCTCCTTACCTAGCTACGCCAGGAAGCACCAATGCGTGGAATCACAACAACGAGACTCAACCTATGTGCACACTATACTAATACCTGGGGAATGCAAAACAGCAGCATCCGCTTGGACTCTTGCTTGTGGCCTCCCGGGACTCCAGAGCCGCTGCTGACGTCTGCATCGCTAACTGCTATTGCCGGTGTCCTACCATTCTCACCGGTGGTTGCGGTGGTTGTGGTAGTTGCGGTGGTTGTGGTGATGCTGTCGGGAGTGATGACACTTCGAACAGGTGCTGAGGGCAAGATCCAGGAGCTGATGCTGCCATCGAGACGGTGGGTACTACCCGAAACACCACTGCGATTGCAGCAGCCACCGGTGCCACCAGCGGTAGCAGGGGCCTCACGGAGGCCTGCCTGCGCCGCTTCCCTCAAACCGCCGTCCCCGTACATGAGAGCTCGCTATATGTACGTATGTATGTCGCTCTGTCTGCTGGTCGTTATGGGTACGGGTAGGTCTCTTAGTGAAAAGGCATCTAGTACCGACCGACCTGGAGCACAATTCCTCACTTATCCATGCAGGTTTATACCCAAATATAAATATATCATGTAAGTGCTGAGTGTAAATACGGACGCGCTGCTACCGTCTGCTGTTGCTGCTGCTGCCGTCAGTCGTGCTGCTGGCTGCAACGTAGGCTGCAAAAAGTAGGCTGCTGGGCGTACGGTGCTACGGGATTTCAGTTATGTTCCAATCGGTTTTTCCTTGCCTAACCCTAACTTGGAGTTCTTCCCGGTTCGTACGGAATTTATACACCGCCAAAGGGTTAGCACAAGTCAATGCGCAAGCACACTGTCATGTATGGCAAGGTAAGCAGCAACCTCTGTGCACGCCATTTAGTTACCGTACGGAGGTCAGAACGCACTGTCGTCGCGACGAAAAGGAAAGTAGTAGCTGTAGTAGCTGTGTGGTATTGTCAACTGTGGCATTGTAGACGGAATGATGGATATGGGCTGAAGTGTATGAGTGCTGTTAGTTGTCTCGCATTTGCACGTGTCTCGAACAGGCTAACGCTCGTAAGTCATGTACGTCGGTACACGTACGGCATGTCATCATGGGGCAGTCCTGGGAATTGGACAATTAATCGGCTCGTCCTAGACACCGATAGCCGACCTTGCACCGCTGCTTTCATCACCCTTTCCACAATTTGCCGGAAATTTTAGAGATGGGCGAGCTTCATGCATGCACTCGACAGCAGTTATAATGCAACGCTCCCCGAGCTTGATTGATTGGCCAAACAGGAGAAGTGTTAGGATAGGCGGCAAGAGTTTGCTCCGATAGTGCAGAGCTCGTGGCTCGTCATACTTCGGTCGTTCCATGATCGGTTTTGCCCCATGTGTCGCTTTGGAGCGGTTGAGGACGAGCATCACGAGTGTTCTGCCTACGATGTTTGTCAGGACTTACTGCAGGCGAATGGTATATCTACTGGGAACATGCGGGCTATCTTGACGTTGCAATTGGGTGACCAGCGTTTTTGTTTGCGAAGGCGCTTCATGTGTTGCGTCGGTTGTGATACACCTGCCTACATCCTAGTATAATACAATCATAGGGGTTGTTTCCACTTGGATTAAACGTGTAAGGGATTTGTGTTCGTTACCGAGTAGGTATGGTTTAGGACGACTTGCCTCCGGTCCTCCAGTCGCCAACTGGAGCCAGTTTCTTCACATATGGTAACGAGTTATGGTTCGATCCTGCCTCGAACCGTCTTGGAGCTGTTTTCACATCGTCATAGCGCTTCCGCTTCGCTTCACTATAACGATCGATTGGTTGTGTTGCCGGTCGTTCACCAGCATCTCGATACTACCGGGTTCATCGCTCTTCGATACTGATCACGG